TTTTTTTGCATTTGCATGCAGTTTGCTGCATGAGGTAACAGACAAAATGGCACCCCCTTCCTTTCCAGGTAGAAAATCCAACTGGACTAGCATTTGAGCCTTACTTCAACACTAACAGCAGGACAGGGTCCTCCATCACATCTGAGGAAGAAGGTTTACTTAGGGAATGTAGGACAGACCGCGAGACACATAGCTTTGCTGTCCTATCAGAGCAGAATGTCTGGGTGACCACCACTGCCGCCTCTTAGCATCTGCCACCTGAGGTGGTAGCCTCACTCTACCTATTAAAGAGGCCTGGCCCTGTCACTTGGTTACACTGAACCTCACATTCAGCCTATGAGAGAAGTTGTTTTGGAATGGACAGTATCAACCATAAAAATTAGCTGAATTGACTTGAATTAAGAGAAGTCCTCTTTCCTGAAGTGTACTTGACATGACCTTTAGGTTTTGGGGCCAAATTTGATTTAATATGGGTGAATCCAGTTGTGAGAAATCCATGTACTGAATTCTTGCTGGTTTTGGTTTTTGCCTTGCTTTTCTTAAAAACATCTGCCAGATGCAGAGGAAAATTTGCTCAGAGTTATGGTGCTGGGGAGAGTGGAATTATCAAAATTTCCCCATGCCAAGGCATCTTGTAGATCAGCAAGGGAGAAAAAATAGCTGTGCAGTCTTTTTCCTGCAGTCAGGAGCCAAGGGCAGAGAAGCAGTTTTGACTGGGAAATTGCACGTGAAGAAAATTAACTCCCTCTCCCAAGTACAACAGCCCTGTTCCAATTCAGAAGCTTCTGAAACTTCTTCTAAGAGGTGAAAACAGTTAGCGATTGTGGATTTCCTGCATCATGTTAAATTTAGTGTTCATTCAATCAGTAAATCTGTGCCTGGATTGTGCCACCAAACTGAAGGGCAGTGTGTGTGTGTGTGTGGGGGGGGTGACTGAATATTCCCTCTCCAGAAAACTTGCTGTTGTTATGTGCCATTAAGTAATCTCTGACATATGGTCACCATACAAATGAATACTCTCCAAAAAGTCCTATTCTTGGCAGCCCTGCTCAGTTCTTGTAAACTCATCAGAAAACTAGTACAGTCAAAAGAAGGCTCATCTTGAATCCTCTACTGATACCTAATTCTTTGTAAGGTATAGCTAGTATCGGACCATCCAGCTGCAGTGTGAAGTAATCCAGCTGAGAGATCTTGCCTCTCTGAAAACCTGACTGTGGTTCTGAGTCTCTGATCAAGTGCTAAGACACAGACCTATAAAATGGAAACTAGTTGCTTCTAAAAAGGGCTAAAAAGAGGAAGTGCTGTGGTTTGTGGTTCTTTTCAAGGAGCAGGCACTGCTGAGTAACTGGGACTTTCCCAAACATAATGGTTTATTACATCACAATCAAATTATTTGGAAAGCTCTGTGCCAATGTTGCTTGGAAAACCTGTGGCTGCACGGATGGAGTTTCCTTTTTCCTTTCTACTAAAGAGAAGTGTTACTACGTTGTCTACGTATGAAAAAATGTGATGTCACACAAAATGATAAAGTGAAAAAGCAAGCTAAACACAAGGAACTTCCTTGCCAAACAATGAGAAATTTCCAGCCAGTCCAAAGGAATCCCACAGAGGGAAAGGTATCCAACTGCTCACTACTCACATTTCATCAGGATGTTTTGCTCTGTGGAAATCAGGATTGTTTTGAATCCTACATACGTACTGTTGGAGTCTTTCTTTTTCATTCCACATGCAAGCAGAATTTTGCTCAGTGTCCCATTATGTACTAAACTGGGGTTATTCTTCTCCATTGTCCTAAACATTCAGAGCCAGAAAAACTTTAGAGATAGGCAGTCTTGGGCCACATGCAAATTTGCCCTAATTTCAAAAGCTGTCTGGAAGAGTTCAGATCTTTGACAAGAGTGGTCCTTCTGTGGCAGCCTGCTGGGGGAGGGGGAAGATTGATCTGGTTTAGATGACATGACAACCCATAGTGAGTTAATTAGCATTGCAGTTATGAGTTAAAGTGCCATGTGGCCTACTTTACGGATGACAATCCTTTGTCTGAACTGCTGTCATAGACAGTCTGCTATTTGAAAGCATCTTCTGTTTGAAGGATTGACACATCTAAGTTATGCATTGCTTTGTTATTGTTTTCTCATATTTTATTATTTTTATAAAATATGGCAAATTTTATTATTATAAAAAATATTATACCTTTTTTTTGGGAGGTGAGGCATTTCATTTGCCAATGGGTAAGCAGCTACCCTAAAACTTTGGCAAAGACAATAATGAGCTTTAAACTGTTGCTAATTATGTTATTATTTTGCTTATTATGGATATTTATGTTTTATGATTTTTTTTTTACCCAGACTGTTAGTTCTTTTGAGACAAGCAGCATAATCCTACTGGCCTTTAGAAAACATCTAGATAGCCGTAGGGTTTTTCAGAGTCCCAGCTCCAAACTCAGAAACTCACCCCAAGCTTAGAGATGGGACTCCAGGCTCAAAATACCTTCACCACACTGGCTGGCACCCTAGCATTGCAAAGGTGGACTCTGAGAGTTTTGCAGCCATGGGGCAGGGAGTGGGTGCAGGGAAGAAGAGAGGAAACTGCTGTCATGATGCAAGGCATCCTAGCATTGCCTCCCTTCCCTTTTTCTCCTGGGAGCCACGCTTAGCCAAATTCTGGCAAAGTATTCTGTAGGACAAGAGGGACACAGAGACACCTTTGGCCTCCGTTTTCTTCCTGCCCTCTATAGGATGCCCATAATCCTCAGAGTTCAGTGAGCTACAGGTATCCAGATTGGTTTACACCAAAATAACAAAAGCAGGACATAATATATCTCCCGTGGTTGTGTCTATGAATATATATTCTTACAGGCATGACCACTATGAACTCTTCAAAATTTAGTGCTATGTGGCTGGGTTTGTGGAACACATATTTTTGGCAACTGTGTGGCCAGAAGTGAGGCTAACAGATCACACACAAACGTATTTGCTTAATGAGCCACTGAAGACACAGATTGGTGTTCATCCTTTGCCTTTCCAGTATGCATGGGGGCAACTATACAATGTTTTATTTGAGGATTTATCATCTCCTTTTCAACTCAAAGCAGAGAACAATATAAAAAGGCAGAAAAATATTCATTTGGCCATCCAAAGAAAATGCAGACTACATCAGCATCAGCATCTTAACTCTCAGGAAAATTGTGTCTATCTAAATTATTTATTGGAAGGCTCTCAAAATGAAAGATAGCCAGGTAATTTACCAACTAGGGCCTGTATAATGAAACCACAATAAAGAATATAGTGGATATCAAAAAAATCAGTCATCAATAGGCTGATATTAAAACTTAGTGGCCAGGGATGCCCGTATGAGTAAAAACATTTTTGCTAATTGATGAAACAATTGCAACATAGGTGCTGTCAGATCTCTAAGGCAAAGTCATTCTACAATATCAAAGCCACCACAGGAACATCCCTCCTCTGAAAATCCTTAAAATGTACCTTTGCCAAATGAAGCATAACCTGGCATGCCAAGTAGGTCAACCTCAGTGAATGATTTGGATTATATGGGCAAAGATGCTCTCTCAGACAGCCTTTCCCTGAGCTACTCAGGGATTTTCTAGATCAACAGCAAGACGCTCAGCTCAGCAGTGACAGGCAGCCATTGCGATTCTTTCAGCAGTGGTGTAATATAATAACAGTAAGATGTTCCAGGGAAGGTCCTGGCCACTGCACTGGGCACTCCACTAGACTAAAATCCATCACACTTGGAGAATAAAAGCTTGCTTTTGAAGAAGTCATAAAAGCTCAGCTGAATGAACCAAGAAGTAGACAAAACTTGTGGTAAACACTTGGGAGCAGACACTTCTTCGGATATCCCAGACCTGGGCCGAGTAGTGCTTTAAAGAAACAAATGAGCACTAAAGCATATCTGGAGTCACCCTCAGTTTTCTTCCACCTACACTTAAGTTGTCACCTCTGCTACTTCATCAACCACAACCTCTCATTAAATCATGCAGACAACTTTAATTCTGGCAGTCAGGAGAGGATGCCTAGGAGCTATCATGTCAACACAACTTGTATGAATCATACAAACACTCCTTTCTCCCCTCCATACTGCTGAAACAAAGGGACTTTTAAAAAACCACATCTTGTTTAAATTTTGCAGTTACTCAGGGCCAGCTGAAGTTTCTTGAAAGACCAGATCTGGATTTCATAGAGGCAACTGGTAATCCCTGATACTGGATTATAAAGAGCTAAACTCTTAAGTCTTTGACATTAGTGGAACCCATCTCAGTGTGAGAAATTTGCTTAGATCAGCTTTCCACAACATGGTGCCCTCCAGATGTGTTTGGTTACAATTCCCAATTATCTCCAACCTGCACAGCCACTGGTTGTGAGAGGCTGTGGGAGTTATAGTAATCTGAGTTTGCACTTTTTATTAGTACAAAATTACTAGCAAGAGTAACTGGAAATTGGTATTTCCCATTCTGCAAGCCATCCTATCCCTTTTAGATACTGAAGGTTTGCCACTTTGCCCAGCAAGCCAAGATATTATTGAATAGACTGAAATAGTCTAACAAGCAGTTTCTAATGAGAGCTTGCAGGGCCCTAGCAGAAATTGCACTTCATTAAATTTTTCAAGTATAAAATGGGGGAAATGACAACTAATGTCCCATCTTCACACATAGGAAGTCAGCTTTCCTGACATAAGGTGAATGAGCATTGTGCTACTGCCCATTTCTGATTTGCTCTCAATTTGTTGTTCCCTTTGCTTCATAAAAGTGTGAAAAGTTCATGACATCTGAACCTGGATCTAGGTTTGTTGCTCCCAAACAAATGAGGATTTGTAATTCAACAAGCGGTTTGAAGCTGGCATACATTCCTGGTTTGTTTGGGAGCAGGAAACCAGGATCCCATGTTAAGACATCACAAGAAGCTATCCCTTTTTGGTTAGATCTAGTCACTTGTACAAAAGCAGGCACAAAGGCGTTCTATGTACCAGCACACCACTCATTCATAGTAAGCAAGGATAAATCCTGCCAAGGTTTATTGTTTCATGTGAATGTGAATTATTTGTATTTAAGGTACACATCCAATGTAGGAATGGGAGTGCACAGCTCTCCCAATGTTGTTGGTCTGCAGTCCCCATCAGTCACAGCCAATGGTGAGAGATGTTGAGGATTGCAGTCCATCACCAACTGGAGGACCATATACTCCCCATCCCTGGTCTAAATTATTAGGTTAATAACACCGAAACTTTTAAATGAAGGTAGAGAAAATCTACTTTCTCCTTGACAATAAATGGGGATGCAACTTTGATGATATAACTTATTTTAAAACCTAGATTAGAAGTATTTCCATGTGCTGTTTTTAACAACACATCATCAAAATACAAGGAGGATTTTGATATATTTTGCTTTAAGAGATGATCCCCATGTCACAAGGCAAGCCACTTCTAAATCAAAAACATCTTGGGAATGTGGCACGTGGGTCAGATGATTACAGAAAAATTGGTCTAGAATTCCACAGGGTGAGTAGAAACCCCTTGCATGAGCCTAAGTTGCTGTTTAGATCCATGCCAGGATAAACAAGAATTGTTACTGTCATATCACAAATGTTTGCAGATCTTTAGGAGAAAACAGAATCCTGGTTAAAACTTACTATCTGAATCTAGACAAGGAAAGTAAGTGAAAGGAAGACAAGTGAGGAAAACACTCTGAGGAATATCTATTTGATCTACTGAATATCTATTTCATCCTACTCATTCTGAGAAGGATGAAAGATGCAAACATCCAAACTTCATTTATCTTCTCTGATCATACTAATGAAATTCCATCCACATAAAGAATTTCCTGTCTCTTTTGAAAACTACCATTTTCAGAAACATCTTGCAGGCAATGGGAAATGCCAGTAGACGTACACAGTATTTCACTTTCAAAGAAGGCAGTAAGAAACAGCTGGGGTTCTTGATCAGCCTTCCTTCTTCAACCTAATGCCTTCCAGCTGTGTGCTCCTACAACTTCCAGTATCCCCAGCCAGATAGATCAGTGAGCACTGCTTGAAGAGAGTGATGGGAAGTGTGATCCTAATCCATCTGGAGGTCAGCAGGTTGAGGAAGGTTATGTCATTCCCTATATTCATTTAAAGATATCTGAGGAGAGAGGGGAATCCAGTGTCAAACATGTATGAACAAGAAGGCTAAACAATTATGTAACACAGAGTTGAAGCTATTTCACATTAATGCATTACATATTATTTTCTCAGCCCCTCCCTTCCCTTCACTTCACTCTACAGTCCAGGGATAATAATACTGGCTATTGTAAGGTTTAATGAGGACCTATGCTAATAGAAGACAGATAAAGAAACAACAACAACCCAGCTCTCAGCCAAGCTTTATTTGCAAACTAAAATAGGGAACTCATTCAAATTTAGGACTGATCATATCTTCTAGTGTTGGGAGGTTACAGTATTCAGTCCTATGAAAACAAAAACCTGTTTCCTGTCATTTTACAGAACTTGGGTGAGAGACTTGGTTGCATCTCTATTTTTTAAATTATTACTGTGCATTGTTCTACTTTTGTCATAAGCTGGCTCAGATATTTTTAAAGCAAAGTATACATGCTGAAAATAAATTAATATTTAAATACATTTCTCATGTGAAAGACCAAATTTTAACTCATTCTATTAAGGTTACCGAGTATTACACTTGCTTTTCTTCTGTCCCCAGTGATCGAGCAGAAGAAAAGCCATGCTGAATGGGACCAAAGGCCTGTCTGGTCCTGCCTTCCGTGCACCCAGTGGTCAACCAGCTGCAGCCAAACTCAGAGAGAACAGAGAAGTCTGGTGGAGGTACACATGGCAGCCTCCTCACTGGTAATAATATATTTTTAAAGTGCTAGTCCTGCTTCCCTGAGAGTCCTGGCATGACTACACCACTGCCCAACAAGCAGCTTAACCCACACTCTTTCTTTGCCACACATTACGGGTTCGCAGACAAGATCCATCCCTTGCAATTCCAGTCTCCCTCTGTCTCTTATAAGCAACTCCTACGCTATGCCCACCTCCTGTTCTTACCCCACCTCCCTATTCATGAATAGGCACACTCCCTTGCCACAGCAGCCATTACGCTGGACAACAGGTGGCACCAGATCCTCTCTTATGTCTTCCTGCCCCCCTCCCACTCTAATAAAGTCCACTTCTGGCAGTCAGGTTGCTGGGAAAGAGAGGAGGAAGCAGCGGCATAGCCAGAAGAAATGGTTTTGTAGCTATGGTGGCAAGAGAAAGGCCATCAGTAAGGAAGTAGTGCTGGGCCATCAGCAGCTTCCAGAGAATCTCTTCAGGTGCTAGGTGTGTAAGCCTTTGTTCCCAGGAATAAGTGATAACATTTGTGTTAATGGAGGACTTGAATGACATTGTCACTGTCCTACGGGTCCTCAACAGTAGAATAAGCCTCGGAAGTACAATTACTCACAAATTAATTACCCTCCAACCTCCAACTAAGGGCTGATTAAAGCATACCAAAAAAGCATATGGTCCAGCCAGTTTTGGAGATTGGGGGGGGGGGGGTCATACAGTTGCTTCACTACATCAGTGGTATAAGAAAAAGGTTTGTGTAACTCATCACCTATGACAGCCCAAACTACCATTTTCAGCCACACAACCATCACAGCTAGTATGCTATGCTGTAAGAACTGTCTTTCCTATATACAAAATAAAACATACAGGAGTAGGAAAATGAATGTTCCTATAATTGACATATAACTTGAGGAAAGTCTCTTGGTACAGTGAAATAAGGAGTGGCACACTTGCTGTGCTTAAAACAAATGAGGCAGAAAGGTCTTGCATTGAATGGGCTCCACTGAAAGAATGGCAAGGAAGTTATTACATTCAGCAGGTCGTATGGTGAACTTTCCAGTGCCAGAATAGTTTTTGAAGACATGTCAAGGCCTTATGACCTTCATCACGCTAGGAAGAACACCAGAGAAGGCTTGAAGTTTCACCATGGCTTGGCTGTTTGTGCGAACTCAAACAAGGTTTTAGCATGTTTTCCAGGCTGCTGCCATAGAATCTTGTGGAAAGACTATCCACTGCTGGCTGAGACACTCCTGCCTGCATTCTCTGTTGCCCAGGTCCAGCTAGCAACAGACGCATCAGTTCTAGCCATGCTTTGTTTAGCGTTCTGTGCTCCCCCTTTCCTCTGCTTTTGTGCTGCCTTCCAGATGCCCATGTGTGGCTAAGGAATGTATATCTATGGAGCTCAGAGTGGTATACAGGTTTTCCCCTTCACAGCAACCCTGTGTATGTTGAAAGGTAGGAGAATCCAGTGAACTCTGTTGTTGAGCAAGGAATCAGTGACAGGTCTCTCAAGTCCTAGACCAATATGCTAGCCTTTCCCAACCTGGTGCGTCAAATGATCTGGTGCCTCAACTGTGTCGAAATGCAATTTCCATCATCCTCAGTCAGCAAGGACAATTGTTGGGGATTGTGAAATTTGCAGTCCAAAACATCTGGAGGGACAACTTGCCAGCCCTTGCACTAGATCATGTATGCAACGGAGGACAAGATAGGGTAATTTATGATCTTTTATAGGCTTGTTCCTTTTTGTTTAACAGATTTTCATAAGAATTTTTTTGTTGCTGTTTTAATTTAGTTTTTGCCTTGGAAGTGCTTTCTGGGATTAAACGCCAAGCATAAATCTTAATACATAAATATTGGAGCAAAGCATGGTCAAACAAACAAGCAAACAAAGGATTTGGAAGTGTAAAAGACCATCTCATGAAGACAAAATCACAGTTAAATGCACCAGATGATGAAATGTCAATATTTCCTCCCAACAAAGTCACAACCACTGTTAATCACACAAGAAGTTGCTCATCTTAATCAGCCTTCATGCTGGATTTCCCCTACTTCCTTATACTGTTCTTGACTTTAGGTAGAGTTCTGAGTTTCATTTGAGCCAGGACTGACCTGAAGTTGACCCCAAAACCTGTTGCACATACCCTTCATTCCAGATTATATGCCCACTAATTTCTTCTTCCAACCTATGAGGGAAGCTTCCATATATTACCAAATCAGTGTGTGCCCAGCATTTTTTTTTCCTACTGAAAGCTGTCCAGGCTTTCTGTTCACCCATTTTAGGCTGGATCTTAGATTGATGAGAAAAATGCTTCTAAATTAGAGGGCATAACTTCTGCTGACTTCAACAAAGTGATCAATCACTTCAGAAATTGTGCATTGTCGAAGTACACAAGACAAAGGGTATCCACTGACGCATCAGCAAAGCAAAAGGAAATGCATTTTCAAAAAGGGAGGCAGGGGGAGGACAAAAGCGAACACAGAATTGCAGCAGCTTTGTATATGCTAATTGATCTGTACACACACACATTAGAAATACAGTGGTACCTTGGCTCATGAACTTAATCTATTCACGACTCTGGTTGTGACCCAAATTGGTTGTGACCTAAGTCAAATTTCCCCATAAGGTTCAATGTAAATAAGGTTAATCCGTTCTGTAACTATATTTTTTTAAATTTTGAAACAAAGTGACAAAGAACAACAAAGTAACAAAGTACTGCACTGTACAGTGGAGAACAGTAAGTGGGGGGGAGAGTGTTGTTTTGAGGGAAAGTCCCCCTCCATAAGGACATTGGGGAGATTTCTTTCAGGGGTTTCCTCTCTTCTTTGTCTCTTAGCTGCAGGGTCAATTTTGGTGAAAAATCTGTCTATAGTCACGTTATTTTTCCTGCGTTGCATAACCCTCCAGAAATGAGAGACCACAGTATCGTTCATCAGATTCAACACTCTGTTCGTTAGTTATCTTGGGGTGCTGCTTCTCAAAGAAATCTTGGCATGGGCACGCTCCTGCAGGAAAAACGGGCGCAATCTCGGCCATCTCTCCCCCCTCCCCCGCAACCAGCACAATTGCGGCCATCTCCCCACCCCCCGAGTGGGGAGATGGCCACGATCACAGTTGCGTTCATGTAGGGAAGACGTGCGTGATCACGGGCACACTCCTGCAGGAAAAACAGGAGCAGCACAGCCGCGATCACGCATGTGTACTCTGCACAAATGCGACTGCGATCGTGGCCATCTCCCAACTCGGCAGGGGGGTGTGGAGATGGCTGCAATTGTGCTGGTTGCGGGGGAGGGGGGAGATGGCCAAGATTGCACCCATCTTTCCTGCAGGAGCGTGCCTGTGATCACGCACGTCTTCCCTGCACAAACGCAACTGCGATCGTGGCCATCTCCCCACTCGGGGCGGGTGGGGAGATGGCTGTGATCTTGGTTGCCACCCAAAGCGGAGTTCACAACCCAAGTCAACTGTAATAGCTAATTTTTGAACCGGGATACAATACATCTGACCAAAGTCATGACCTGTATGTCTGCTCCAGGTGCTAACTGTTCAAAGGCAACTTCAGCGTCTTCTTTATAAAATCTGGACTGGGATCAGGAAGCCATTTGAACAGAGGATGGCTCCAAACAGAAAACAGAGGACTACTCTATGACATCTCTTCAAACAAAAACTGCTCCTTTGTAAAGGAGGACACATGATCACCTTTGCAAGTTCAGCACAGTAATGGAGCACTAACTGAACAGCCTTCTGTGAAGGCCTTCAACAAAAACATAGAAAATCAATAAGCCTGATCGTGTGACAGAGAAACCTATCTTGCTTGTTTTCTGCACTGAGTATTTATGGGAAACAGACCTACTCCATCAGATCACATACAACAACAACATTCCAGTGTTGTTGTTGTATTCCAGTGTGGTGTAGTGGTTAAGAGCATGGGACTGGGACTCAGGCGACCTGGGTTCTAGTCCCCGCTCAGCCATGGAGCCAACTGGGTGACTTTGGGCCAGTCACAGACTCTCAGCCCAACCTACCTCACAGGGTTGCTGTTGTGGGGATAAGATGGCAGAGGAGATGTAAGCTGCCTTGAGCCCTTTGTAGGAAAAAGGCAGGATATAAATCGAAAAAAATAAAATAAAATAAAAAAATTCCTTTATTTACATTAGCCATATGCCTTTGCATAAATATTACAAAATGTAAAATCAGCCTACTAAGATCATAAATATGCCTATACGCCCTCCCACCCACTAAGATCGGCAGCAGAGGCCCTCCTCAACCCTCTTTGAAAGAGGTCAGGAGACAGAGTACTTGAAGGAGGGCTTCTTCTGCAGTGGCGCCCCGATTATGGAATGCACTCCCTAAAGAGGTCCGCCTGGCACCATCAGTAAATGCTTTACAGCACCTGGTCAAGACCTTTTTATTTAACCAATATTTTAAAATGGGCCTTAGGAAGTCTGAGCAACAACAAAGCTAGTGGAGGTGACAGTATTCTAGCTAAGCTAATCAAAATCTTAAAAGACGATGCAGTAAAAGTGCTACACTCAATATGCCAGCAAATTTGGAAAACTCAACAGTGGCCACAGGATTGGAAAAGGTCAGTTTACATTCCCGTCCCAAAGAAGGGCGATGCCAAAGAATGTTCAAACTACCGCACCATTGCACTCATTTCACATGCTAGCAAAGTGATGCTCAAACTCCTACAAGCTAGGCTCCAGCAGTATATGGACCAAGAACTTTCTCAGCAGTGGCACCCCATCTATGGAATGCGCTCCCCAGAGAGGTCTGCCTGGCGCTGTCGTTATTTGTTTTTTGGCGCCAGGCGAAGACCTTTTTATTTAAAACTCATTTTAATTGTTAATTTATTTGTATTTATAGGATTGTAAATCTTTTAAGCCGAGATGCATCGGGTTTTAATATTTTTACTGTTTAATTGTTATATTTATGTATTTTGTTTTTGTTGTAAGCCGCCCCAAGGCTTTGTTGCGATGGGGGCAGCATAAAAATGTTTTAAATAAATAAATAATAAATAAACTACCAGAAGTACAGGCAGGATTTCGAAGAGGGAGAGGAACTAGAGATCAAATTGCCAACATACGCTGGATCATGGAGAAAGCTAGGGAGTTCCAGAAAAACATCTACTTCTGCTTCATTGACTATGCTAAAGCCTTTGATTGTGTGGATCACAACAAATTGTGGCATGTTCTTAAAGAGATGGGAGTACCAGACCATCTTATTTGTCTCTGGAGAAACCTACTGTATATGGGGGCCAAGAAGCAACAGTGAGAGCTGGACACGGAACCACTGATTGGTTCAAAATTGAGAAAGGAGTTCAGCAAGGCTGTATACTGTCACCCTGCCTATTTAATTTATATGCAGAGCACATCATGAGAAAGGCGGGGCTAGATGAATCACCAGTTGGAATTAAGATTGCTGGAAGAAATATCAACAACCTTAGATATGCAGATGATGCCACTCTAATGGCAGAAAGTGAAGAGGAACTAAAGAGCCTCTTGATGCGGGTGAAGGAGGAGAGTGCAAAAGTTGGCTTAAAACTCAACATTAAGAAAACTAAGATCATGGCATCTGGTCCTCTCACTTCCTGGCAAATAGATGGGGAAGAAATGGAAGTAGTGACAGATTTTATTTTCCTGGGCTCCAAGATCACTGCAGACGGGCACTGCAGCCAAGAAATTAAAAGACACTTGCTCCTGGAGAGGAAAGCTATGGCAAATCTAGACAGCATACTAAAAAGCAGAGACATCACCCTGCCAACAAAAGTGCGTATAGTCAAGGCTATGGTTTTCCCAGTTGCAATGAATGGCTGTGAAAGCTGGATCATAAGGAAGGCTGAGCGCCGAAGAAGTGAGGCCTTTGAATTGTGGTGCTGGAGAAGACTCCTGCGAGTCCCTTGGACAGCAAGGCGATCAAACCGGTCAGTCCTAGAGGAGATCAACCCTGACTGCTCTTTAGAAGGCCAGATACTGAAGATGAAACTCAAATACTTTGGCCACCTAATGAGAAGGACTCACTGGAGAAGAGCCTAATGCTGGGAACAATAGATAGCAAAAGAAGGGGACGGCAGAGGATGAGGTGGCTAGATGAAGCAGTTGGTGTGAGCTTAAGAGGACTGGGGGATGATGGAGGACAGGAAGGCCTGGAGGAATGTTGTCCATGGGGTCATGATGGGTCTGACATGACTTTGCGACTAACAACAAATAACAGGGCGGCTTATTTTATATTTTATATTGTATTTTTGTATTTTAAATTTAATGTTTATATTTTTAATTCAAGATTGTAAGTATTTTAATTTATTGTTGTAAGCCGCCCCGAGGCTTCGGCGAATGGGGCGGCATAAAAATGTTTTAATAAATAAATAAATAAAAACAACAAACTATTCTATTTTATGTATTCAGTCGTAGTATAGTTAATTTATTTTGTCTAGGATTTAGATTATATTGTAAGCCATCCAGAGATGCAAGTGATGGACGGCCAATAAATGTCCTAAATAAATAAATAAATAAATAAAACACATATAAATCACACACACACCCAATGCCAAAATTTAAACAAGTCTGTAAAAACTATAATTTTAAAGTCATATTTGACCTGATTCTAGTTGTTACTGCTAAAAATTTATCTGACTGTGTCATCACCTGTTTATCCCAGTCTGCAAGAAGAAAAAATACATAGAAGCCAGACAGATGACCTGGTTTCTTAATAAGCAAGGGACAAATAAACTTTTTACATGCATCTCTATAGAAAAGCAAAACAGGAGTACATCGGCAAGCATATCAACAGTATCGCCACATGGGCATATTTGATTTTGTATTGGAACTCCTCTGAAATGACCCACAAGTAGCATTGAAAGCATGACTTTAAGCCACACACATGGCAAGGCCCTTGTATATTTTGGGACTGTCAGTACTTGCAAATACTTTCCCATATTTTGGATGACTTGTTAAAAAATAGTCATACCATGGACATGACATTTTAGTGGCAGACAAATTGTTTTTATGTTCAATATTGTTCAAGTGCTGCTTCAATAAATGTCTTGCCTTGCCATAACCAATGGCTAGTAAAAATTCAGGTGAGAATCCTAGAATATGTATTTTGCACTTAATATCTTTCATTTACTTACTCTTGTGAGATTCCTCCATAACAAAGGAAAGCAGACTGGCAGGAGCTAAATTCAGTCATAGCAAGAAATAAAATGTCCAAAGCCAGATTTGTGTAGACAGTGAATGAAGACCACTTTCCAACCTTGGAGAAGCATTTGGAACACAGCCTGGTACAGCAAATATTTGCCTAAGAAACTTAGATTGCACAATTTCTATTGATGTTAAGTTTGTATTGACCCAGACTGAAATCCCGTATAGTACCGTATAGTACCTGCGCTAACAGCTAGACTCTATAATCTTCTAGCACTACCAGTATAAAATTATGCCCTTTGGTATAGAAAAACTGTCTCCAGATTTTTAGGGTATGTGAAACTTGAGCTGTCCATGTTTCTGATGCCTGAAAATCATGCCAAAATATTTAAAGACTGACTTGTTCAATTGGTCCCCCATCCAAGGACCATTTATACAGTCTAAAGCATTTTGAGAATACCATTACTTTGATTTTGCTGTAATTCACTTCAAGATGTTCCTTCTGGAAATAATTTGAAAATGCCCTTAGTTGTCTTCTCAGACCCACTTTAACTCTGAGATAGCAATATAGCATCATCCACATATAGTAGCACTGAGGATTTGGTGGCTAGTTTGGGGGCATGAAACACTGGAGATCGCATACAAGACTGATTTAGCTGTCACCTGATAAGACTGATTTGGCTGTCCTTATGGAAGTCCCCGTGACTTTATATTGCACCTTGGTATTATTTCTAGAGCCCCTTTGAGGCTCCTTCCTTCCCTATCCAAGGCCAAGGAGAGGATGAGACTAAAAGAACCTACTAAGTCTCCTTATCCAAATTCTCCTTCTCAGAAGGCTTTCTTTCTAATGTCAATGCACTTCCAAATGGAGTCATCTTCGCATTTTCTGAAGGCATTCTGCAACCATTGCACCTTTTCTTCCTTAATGGATTTTTCACCAAACTAGAAAAAAAAAAAGGAAGAAACGCTGAAAAAAAATGGGAAGATTAGAAATGGATGTCATTAGAGCTCCCACCCCCACCCCCACCCCCAATTATGAAGCAACTGTGGCTCAATGGTACAGCAAGTTCCCATTTTTTAATTCCTGACCTCTCCAAATAGGGCTGGAAATGTTCCTGCGTGAAACACTGGACTTCCACTGCCAGGCAGTGTTGACAATAGTGAGCAAGAGTCTGACTCATTAAGAAGAATTCTGTGAACGAGGTAAGGCAATTGCACATGTCTTTCCTAGAAGAACTTTTAATGGGAAAGCAAATGTTTGATTTCATAGCACTTGAGTATAGCCTGGCCAGGGGCAGAGGCCAAGAAGCACAGGAGAGTTGAAACAGCTGACAAGGCATTTTAATTTGCAGTGGAAAAATTCATTTTTCAATTATTAATCATTATTTGAGCATTGACTTCTTAGATAATTCAGTTTAGTGACAAATACTACATATATAGAAATAGAAGCCTACCTAGCACTGAAAATCAAAACAGAGAAAGCAGTTCAATATTAGGGCAGAAGTGTAATCAAGAATTACAGAGGAAATGAAATCACCAAAATTTTCTGTGGTGGGGAAGAGGACCAAAGAGATTTCAGAAGTTTTGGTATGCTAATTTGATATGCTAATATGGTATGCTAATTTGGTGTGCTAATTCATATGTACAGGGCAAGTTTTAAACATTAGAAAATATATAAAATTGGAAGCAAAAATGACAAAACTGAGTGTGTTGCACTTTGGGCACATCATGCAATGGCAAGACTCCCTAGAAAAGGCAACCATGCTAGGGAAAGTTAAAAACAGAAGGAGAAAAGGAGACCAAATAGGAGATGGATTGACTCCGTAAGGGTAGCGACAGCCTCAAATTTAGAACTGACCAGGGCTGTGAAGCATAAGACATTTTAGAAGCCATTCATTCTTTGAATTGCTGTAAGTCAGAGTTGAGTTGACAGCACATAACAAAAATATAGAAAATGTTTATCCATGTTCATTAACTAAAAAATTAACAGAATCATTCGGGTAGTCAATAGAAAAGTATTTTATGCTGGACATTATGCTAGAAATGTCTTGGCCAACTGTTTGGGATAGCATAAAATAATACTTTAGGGCAGATGCTGAAGAACTTGTGGCCAGTTAACTATTGCTGGACTGCAAGTCCCCTTATCTAACCACTGATCATGTTGCCAGGGGCCGATTGAAGATGGAGTCAAACAACTTAAGGAGAGCTGCAGGTGTCCCACTTGAATTAGGAGTATTCAGTAAGTTTTTTAAAGGGCAATCCTATGTTTGCTGTTGTTATGTGCTGTCAAGTTGTCTCCAGCTTATGACAACCCTATGAACAAAAGCACTCCAGAATGTCCTGCCCACGACAGCTGCATTCGCCTCTTCCAATTTCAAGGCTGTGCATTCCTCAACAGATTCAATCCATCTCATGTTTGGCCTTCCTTTTCATCTTCTGCTGCCAACTTTTCCTGACATGATTGTCTTCTCCAGCGAGTCTTTTTTTCTCATGATGTATGTGAAGTATTGACAGCCTTAGTTTTGTCAGTTTTGCTTCTAAGGAAAGTTCTGACTTGTTTACTTAGAAGTGAATTAAATTGTATTCATTGGGACTTACTTCTGGCTTCTGTCTGCATAGGTCTGAAGCTTTACTATTAAAAAGTGCAAAAATATTTGGAAAAATCAAATAAAGCCTATGGACACTGGGTTTAGTCGGCCTTTCTCCTAGAGTAGCATATATCAGACTGCAGTCTTTATGCACATTTCCCTGGGAGTAAGTAAGCCCCTTGAACAAAGCTCATGTAATCGTCAGGTGGTCACACTGAAAGCAAACAGTGCAGCAAAATAAATCAAGTAATTAAAAATCCTCCATTCTCCAAAGATTTAAGTCTGCACAGAAATCTAGCTCAAGTGCCTCTTCCATCGCGGCACTCAAACCCTGACCCCACCATCCACAGAATGCAGGGGTGCGGACGTTGTTCTTTTACGTAGAGTAAGCGAGAATGGAACTATTCTGCTTCTAACTCCATGCCTCTCCACTTGTTCAAAAACTACTGAGAGTTCTACTTCTTCCTCATTGCTCATTGAAGTCTTCTCTTGCGCTTTCAAGACTGACCTCGCCAGTGAATGGACAACTTCCGCCTGTATATTGCAATGTAACTTCACAGTTTATAAAATAAATGATAACTGGACCCACTGCCTGTGCCTTATGATGAACTTTGAAAACTTCCATTAATTATTCTTCTTCATAGGCACAAAGTGGTCTCACTGAAAACCCCACATCTTCTTGGCACTGAAAACTAGAGCGGGGGAAAACGGTTCTATGTTAATCGGGAAAGGTCAAGAGGGATTACAGTGACGTGATTCTACAGGTTTCCTCTCTCTATGGAGAAAGAAGAGGAACTGCAAATACTGACTCACAGCTGCATAGATTTCTAATACAGTGTTACTCCGAAGAAAATCCTTTTGGTAGCAGTAAAACTTATTTATTATTTATATTACTACGACTACTATTATTATTATCATTATTATATCGTAAGTGCGCATAGCAACCGTTTCCTAGCTGACTGGGGAATCTGGGAGTTGCAGTCCAGCGTACCTGGAAAAAAATCAGGTTGGGCATTGCTGACGTACAAGTCTAAACTCTGAGATGATTTCGTCTCTAACGCTTACACGCTAGAGAGGTCGCTAGGCTAACGTCACTTCCTGCGCCTGGTATGCCGTTCTAGCCTCATGGAGGTTTCTCTGTGGCTGCTCAGCAATGTTAAGCCAGGCGCTGTCCTTTCTAGGCGGCTGGAGGCCGGTTGGCTCTGTGGTTGGGCGAGCGGGTCAGCTGCGACGACGAGCCTGTTCCTGCGTAAGGGGAGTTTGGCAGTTGCTCGGAGCGGCGGATGGGGAAGGGGGAGCCGAGGCTCCTTGGGGACGGGGCAGAAAGGTAAAACGGCACGAAAGTTAGGAGGGCAAATGTTCGGGGGTGGCTTTGGCAGCCTGTTTTGTGGCTATCCTGTTGCTGGGATCGTGTGTGTCTGGGGTTGTCACTTATTTTCGTTTTTTCCCCCAACTTGGCATTTTCCCCGTTCCCTTCTTAAAATCTTAAGAGTGAAAATCGGCAGGTATAATTTGTTTAGCCTTCAGTCTTGAGCCCTGGGAGTAAGCGCCATTTAACTTAGTGGCACTTACTTGAGAGCAGACATGGATAGGGTTGTTCCTTTAGGGCACAATCCTGTGCTTGTTTAGGCAGAAAAAAGGCCTACAGTTCCCAGAATTCTCCAGGGCTCAAAAAAAAAAAAAAAAAAACCTAAGCATGCGAGGGTTTGGTCCCCTAATTAATTTGTATCCCACCCTTCTGCCCTCAAAATGGAACTGCCTTCAAATTCCTTACAGTACGGTGATGCAGTGATGGGGGAAAGCCTTACCTTCTTGATTTCCATCTGATGGTGTTTAAAGCTATGGGAATCTCCTGGAAGAATAAGCGAGTAAACCTTTGAATGCAATTACATATGTGTAGAGCTTTCTATTATGTAGCTATCTAGTTTTTTATTTAGTAGTTGGTTGTTTTATTGTATTTCTTAAATGCCTCCAGGCAGTCATGCGCACAATAACATGAGAGCAAGCCTTACTGAACACAGCAATGAGTGAACATACTTAAGTTTGCTCTGTATAAGCAAGTTAGGCTTTTCAGTGCAATCCTATGTGTGTCCATGTAGAAATAAATCCCAGTGTGTACAGGACTGTATCCTGAGTCTCTCTACTTGTAAAACATGGTTTTAATAATGTCAGTTGGTATATTTACTATCTATGCACCCTGAATTGGTGGACAATATGTCTATTGGCAGCCAGTAGCAATGATAGTTTAATGGAAGAACCTTCCTGTGCAGAAGCAATATACCTTGGATTACCAGGTGTTAGGTTAACTTATTTCTTTCACAGCCTATTTGTGTCCTTTGAGAAAAAAAATGTGTGGCTGTGGATGGATACAGAAAGCTATATCTTATGGACCTTTGCTATAATCCAGAAAGGTAATTCTTCTGTTCTTTGAATGCAGATGGAATCTCATTGAAATATTTCTGTTCCTGATTTTTAACACATCTGTTCTACTTGAATATTAACATGCCCTAAATCCCTAAGGTTGGATGGGTTAAAAATCTTAAATTCTGCAATGACCATGCAGCCAGAATCAGCATGTATTTCCTCCCACCTTTTCTCTCCTAACCACTGCAAGTGCCATTTATGCAGCATTCAGGCAGGTCTGGGATGCCTTCACTTGTTCTCACCAGTCTGTGTCTCTGCTAACTTTCCTTTCAAGGCCAGAAACCTCACAAGGCCAGTAGGAAAATCACACAAAAGGAGTGACAGTATTGTGAATACCAAGGATACCAATGCACTCTTCAGTTTGGAAGATGGGTAGCTTGGAAATCTTTTCCATAAGCTCTGGCAGGTGTGACATGTTGTTGTTGTTGTTTTCTTTCAGGTGCTGATGGACTTGCTCTGTTTGGCCTCTAGACACTGCCAAGTGCACTTGATGCTGTAAGACATTGCTGTCTGTGCAAAACCAGCTAGCGGGCACCTCCTCCTGAAATGGCTCCACAGTTCCGCAGTTATGTCTGGGATCCTGCCCTTATCCTCTCCCAGATCATGCTCATGCAGGCAGTTTACTACAGCTCACTGGGCCTGTGGTTGGCCCTGGTGGACAGTTTGGTGCAAAACAGCCCTTCCCTTGACCAGATTTTCAGTTATGAGGTAGGAAATTCTTCTTTGGTAAGGCACGAGGAGCAAAAAATCTTTAGAGCTAAAGGGGAATTTGGAAGATTTGAGAACAAACATTGCAGGCTAATATCATTGCTTTCTGGGGTTGCTACCTTTGATACCCAGGAAAATCCTGGAGCCAGGTTTTTTAAAAAGATGGCCACAATCCAGATACCTTCCCTCCTCCGCCCAGAGAGGGAAGGCAGCAGAATTAAAAATACAACTGGAAATGGAAGGAAAATGCTGGACAGGAAAAAAATTGGCTCACAGAGGTAACTTTCTCTTTACCTGAGATCGGGTATGTAGAACAGTAGATGAGTGGAGCCATTTAATCTGCATTGCCATAACTTACTACCTTTATGATATCAACATGAAAGGAATCCTTAACGACACAAGTATGGTTGACTATAAGAATGCTTGGAGTTGTAGGATTATTTTTGGTCTAAACATTTATAGGATTGTATTGTTGTTGCTAAGTTGGACTGATAATATGAACCATACAACCTCACAGAGGGTTGATATGGAGTCAGCTGCTTGATTTTTTTCCCATGAGAAGTAGCTTTCTCTTCCTGTCTGCCCTGTGAATGTTTGGTTTTAACTATCACAATCATTGCTTTCTTTTCCCCTGTAGCCCTTTTATTCAGTCTCATCACTGTCAAAAGTTACTAGTGATATGATATCATGGATTCCAAGGCAAGTGTTTAAGCAGAGGCATTTTTACAATGTGGATCAGCTGTAGGGAGCAGGGCTGCTGGCCTTTGTTCTTTGCCAGAGGAGATGTTCAGGGGAGCAAGGAGACTTGAGCCTGATTATATGTCTAGGGGCTTATAAAAACCAAGGTTAGGGTGGCTTTTCAAAGGATAATGGATCCATAGAAGATAGATTTGTAATGTCGATAACTATTAACCATCATAGCAAAATAGAGCTGTGAAGGGAATATACATCAGAGTACTTTATGCTAGGGACAGAAGCTTCCCAGAGGCATCAGACTGACTCTTGCAAACAGAATTTGAACTAGATTGCTGCTTGGCCAGATCCAGCAAAGCTGTTCTTATATTCTTGGCATGCAACCAGCTCTGGAGGAGGAATGGTTCTGAGGGAGGAAGAGGGAGCAGATTGCCTTGGACCCTGCTTTCTCTTTCACCCATGCCCTTCCCTGCTGTCTCTTGACTCACCAGGCTTTGTGTGAGTGTGTTCCATTTTTCTCTCTCTTTAACCCCAGGCTCAGAGGTAGAGAAGAGTGAGTACAAGCTATGGGTGATCCAGATGATACAGGAGGGAGGTTGGAGAGAGAAAGATCACATCCTAGACCAAAGTTGGGGCACTTGAGGCCTCCTGATAGGTTCTACAACTGCCATCATCCTTCCTCATTAACTGTGCTAACCAGGACTGGTAGAAATAGTGGGCACAACATGCAGAGGGGCAACCAGTTAAGAATATAAGAAGAGCCATGATTAATTGGATGAAGGGTCCATCTAGTCCAGCATTCTGTTTGCAGGGCATAAGTACAGCAGCACTCTTTCCCCAAGTTCCCCAGAAGCTGGTGTATTGGTGTATAGTTGCTCACTCCCTACACAGGTTCTGAAGAGCAGAAGAGTGAACACAAGCCCTGGATGGACACAATGAGGGTATAAGGTGTTTGGAGAGGGAAGAACGGATCTGCTCATTTCTACCCCAGCCCTTTCACTCCTTCCTTTGAAGTTAGGAAGTGCAGATGAGCAGCTGGAACACAAGTCATACCTGTGGTGAATTGAGTGTTAACACAGAAAGGGCTACATGGAGTTGGAAGAGCCCTGCTTCAGCCAGTCCTCTTTTTTTCTTCAGCCAGCCCAGGCTTCTGAGCATCCAGACCGTATACACAGATCTGCAATTGCTGTGCTTTCTGATTGAAAAAATGGAGAGGTGGGGACCCTGCTCCTGCCATGCCTATGACAGGAGGCAGGGCTATAAGTCAGTCCACTGAAGCGAATGTGCATTGTGGTGAGGTTCAGCCTGTTCTGATCCCAGGAGCCCTGTTCCCTGGAATTTTTGACTCTGCTTGCCTCCCTTAAATAGCAAGGAATGTCCATATGCAACCTTTGATTCCACTGATTCCAGGTTCAACAAGCAGAAATGACCAGCTTAGGGGGTCAGTGGAAGGAGCTTTCTGACTGCCTGCTGACCTCAGTGTACTGAATGGGGAAGTGATTCATCCTTGTGTGAGACTCCATGACAATCAGAGTTTCTCTTCTAGAGTATTGTCATGTTGAGTTTTGCAAGACCACAGATAATGTGACCTGGCGAACAGTCAGCAGTCTATTAATGCCTTCAGTTCGTTCAATTATCAATATAATTGATTTTTAGGATTCATATGAAAGTCCTTGATCTCAGCTAGAATCAATATGTGGAGAACTTAAACAACTGGGCTGTACTTTAGATTATTCATTTTAGGTGTTAATTGCAGGAATTCTGTCTGTGTATAATATTGTGCAGTTTCAGATGAGAAGGCAGCCACATCAAAACAGAAAGATTATGTGAAAATTAGATTTCAGGTCCTATTTAGATACTTCAATCCAAATGCAACCACAGTGCATTTTTTAAAGAAATGTATAGTATTTGTCATGAATTTATTGGTCTTAGTCCTGGTTGATTTTGTTAGTTTGCTTAAATATGTACATACAAATCTGTACTCTTAATGAAAGAACCTGCTTTGCTGCCCTGGAGCTGCATCAACTTTATTTCAAATGAGCTTTATAAAGGGGATTTTAAACCACTTTCAAGTTTATCTCAGTAGCTGCTTATCTTTGTAACCTCTAGGTTTTGGGATTCTCCACCTCACTTGGAAGACTTGCCATGATGGCTTTTATCCTGAATGCACTCACCTGGTAAGTCAACATTTGGACTGTATTAGTCTTTGACACAAATACTTTTCACAGGGCTTGAATAACAGACAGTGCTAGTGTGGAGCTGCCCTTTGCTAACAAAAGATGCATTCAAATAATCAGGGTTGTTAAAATGCGCTAAGCTACAGAGCATTGTGATGAAGTTCCTTAAGATCTTCTAGTGCTACCAGACACGAATAGGGTGTAGGACACAGATATGGAACATGTTATCCAACCATTTCTGGAAGGCCACAATTCCCATCCGCCCTCACTATTGGCTATGCTGTTGAGGGAAAGAGGAAGTAGGAGCCTGAGAAGGCAACAAGCAAAGGAAGTGGGGATATAAGGGGCTGTCAAACGAAGGAGGCAAAGAACTGAGATGAGAGCTTCTCAGAAGGGCATGATATGTGGGGGAAATGTGGTCAAGAGTTGCAGTGATAATACAGGTATTTGATCTTACACTAATTTTTAACTCTCTAGCAAAATACTTAGCTCCTGATGTTTACGAGCAATGAGCAAGATCATTTTTATTATTCTTCCCCCTCATGAATATATAGAGAAGTCATGCCTTCAGGAGATAGCTAGGAAAGTATGTGATGTTTCCAAATCAAAATTTCAAACTCCAAAAATACTCAGTCCTTTATTTTGCAAAGAGCCTAAAATAACATGAAGAAAACAGGTCTAGCTCTAGCTTTAGCTTGTTTTTTTTGCACCTCTGGCTGCATTAAAAACTTAATTCAAAAGACCTGCAGTAAGATTAGCCTGGCATCACTTATATGGAATACAGAATATTGAGAGAGGATAAATATAATATTTTTATAACTGTTTTGTTACTGAGTATCTTCATCCCTGAATGATGTTTCAGATAGAATTTTTCCCCCTTTGTAGTGCTGTAGGCTTGCTGTATTTCATTCGGCGAGGAAAGCAGTGCTTGGATTTCACAGTCACGGTTCACTTTTTCCACCTGCTGGGCTGCTGGATTTACAATGCGCACTTCCCTACTGCTTTAACATGGTGGCTTGTACATACTGTGTGCACAGCTCTCATGGCTGTGATTGGAGAATACCTCTGTATGCGAACGGAACTGAAGGAAATACCATTAAATTCAGCCCCCAAATCCAATGTGTAGACTGCTAGAGGAACTGTCTCTCCCCATAATCTTCAGCATCTTGGTGCTAACATGTAGTACATGAGGATGCAATTAAAGAAACTCAACAGGTCTGTTCTAACTTCTGAAAACATTGGCTACAAGTCTAAGGTTTGAGATAAAAATGTTGGCACAAGATGAACGAGAATCTGATACAGCAACTCTTATCACTCATGCAGACATGTCCATTTTGCTCAAGTGGCACATACCAAATTCAGCATTGGAATAACAAAATGTAAAACTGTAAACAGAAAAGGGACTACTTCTGTGAATTTGTGAGCTTTGCCCTGGATTGTGGTGATCAGAGCTGTCCTGTATTGCCAGGATAATGGACTTCAAGTAGCACACAATGTAAACTTTATATTGCCCCCCTCCCCAGAGAAATGTGACATTTGTTTTACTTCTGAGAAATATTTTGAACAAAATCAAGGAAATAGAAGTGGACAAGATACTGTTTCTCCCTCAGCTGCTGTGATTCCAGGAGGCTCGACTAAAGATGAAGAGGAAAGTGACCATATTTATTGGATTGAAAAGAACTATTTAAAAAAAAATAAAGACTGCAACTTTTCGTTGGAGTGTTACAGCTTACTGATCAAACAGAATTTTATTGTTTACATGGCAGCGGGGCGGGGGGGTAGTAAAATAGCAATATAATTCAGGAAGCCTCCGCATAGAAACTGTAAATGTACCAGCTCAAAGAAAGTGAACAGCACACAAAGCAAATGAACCAGCTAGCTGGCGTTGTTCTCAATGTCCTGCTTGGAGGGCCAGCTGTCCCTGATCACAATGCTGCTTCAGCTGAGCCTTTTTATTTTGTATTACCATGAATGTATTACCATGAAGCTTCAGGCCTTTCTCTGATCATCATGTTCTGCTATTTGTAACGTAGGTTACCTGCTTCTCACATAACAGCCATGAGTATGGATTGTCATTGGCTTGTTGTTGAATTGTGAGTGGTTGTTACATGTGAACCCTGAATTGTGGCTTAAGTATGGGTTGTTAACTAGAAACAACTCAAGAAGAAAAACCAGTTTCCTGTTCAGTTGTAAACTCTTTGAATTATTCATGGTTAACAACTCATAATTAACCTACATTTAATAAGCTCACATGTAATAACACCCCACAATTAAGTAGCGATCCATATTAGGTTGTTATTACATGTGAACCAGGTCTCTTTCCCCATTACAGGATGGTGGGTTGGACATGAAGACTATGAACTGGTCTCTTAACTAAATGACCACCAATTTCAAGTGAAACTTGATGTGCATACTAACTTCAGTTGTTCTATATGAACTGAGACCTGAGTAACTACTTAATGAACGGTGTCTCATGCAGTTAAAGCTGCCTTCTTTTTTTCAAAAAGGGGTTACAAGAAAGAATCTGTAACAGCTACTCCTAGGTGTTATTTTAACAATGAACTTCCTTTCTGCCATGTCACTGAAGTTTCCTTTGTACATAAATATTTGTGAATTTGTATATTGGTAATTTAATGCTTGGTTTGTACAGATTAGAGGGATAATTTTGCAAATAGAACTTGATAAACTTTCTAAATGTTCCAGTTGGATTCCATGAATGACATTGCTGAATTGCAGTTGTCAGATTTTGTAAAGTTTCTAGCTGTGATACCACTTGGTTCAGCATCTCAGGTACTGTATTGGCACAAGGCAGATCATAGAATAGTAGAGTTGGAAGGGACCAAGGTGGCCTTCGAGTCCAACCCCCTGCTGGTGTCCAGTTTCTTTCTAAATATCTCTAGTGTGAGAGAGTCCACAACCTCTTTAGACAATTGGTTCCATCGTCATATTGCTCTGACAGTGAGGAAACTTTTCCTGATATCTAGCCTGAACTTTTCAGGCTTTTCCTGATCTCTTCACTCACCCCATTATTGTTTGGGTGATATATCTGAGCCCAAATCCTTTCTTCCAGTGTTAACATGGTGTATACATCTTTGAACATTTCATATTTTTCCAGCAGATGGTGCTGTTTTCATTTGAATCAACTCTAATGCTATCAGAAACACTGCAGGTCCTGTTCTAATCTATCTGTAATCCCCAAACCTTTTGAATTGGGACATATTTGGAATTTTGCAAGAGTGTCAAAAGATGGTTGATCCAGGTTCATAAAAGTTTGCCACAGTGGACATCACAGGTCACAAAACAATCATTTCTCAGAAGGCCAATGGTGAGACACAAATGACTTGCCCAAGAATAAGGCAGAGGTGTGGATGGGAGTGTGGGGGGCACTGTTCTGAGCTCCATCACACAAAACCACTCTCTTCATCCCACGTACGGATAGTGCTGGAGGACATCATTTCACTTTGCAGCGTGCCCTCCCCACAAAAAGAAAAAGAAAAATCAATAGAAGTAGGCAGCCTGATGAGCAATGCTGGTAATCAGTGGCGCAAGCAGATACATATCTGGTGGTGATTTGGGGGCTTGTACCTTCATCTCTTCTTTAGTCATCCCTTCTTGGTCATAGATTTTCTTTCAAGAAACTGGTGTGAATAAAGTACTTCTGGGCATGCCCAGACTGCTTTCCCTCCTTGCTGAGTAGTCCTTGATTTGCTTCTGCAGAAAAGCATTCTGGGGTGGGGTGGGATGCTACCATTTCTATTGGGTCATGTGACTATCAAGAGTTTATGCTTTTTCTTGCTAATTCATGCAGCAAAGCTGCGGGAGGGGGCCGCCTGGGTCACTTACCTGTTATTCTGAACTCTACAGACAGGCTGTAAGCTTATGCCCTGAGAAGGCCTTGCTTGGATGATCTAAGCACAGCTTACTTCTGAGTAGATGTGTACTGGATTGTGTTGCCTGTTTTCACAAACATCACCCTGTGCAACTTGGTTTTCCTAGTGTTCTGAACAGCTGCCCTCTGCATTTGCAATGCCTCAGAGCAGGTAACAGATGGCTGCCTTTTCTTAATGAACCTGGGTTTGGGGTAAGCACTTGAGGAGCTGCTCTCAGAGTCTTTCTGTAACAGCTGCTTCTCTTGCAGAGAACAAGAGACAAAGACAAACTCAAAGATTTCATTCAACACTGCTAAATTTGGTTGAATGAAGAAACTGGGGAGCCGTAGCTTTGTTACAGCCAAGTGGCTTGCAGTTTGATTTAATTAATAGCAAATCTGGCATTCTGCAGTGTAAGTCAGGAGTGGGCAGATCACCAGCTGTTTTGGACTTTGACTCCCAGAAGACCCTTCCAGCATGGCTGGCAGTCAGGAATGCTGGCAGTTGAAGTCCAAAAGCATGGAGATCTACTTCCTGTCCATCCCTGGTAGAGGTACCAAGATGTTTTAGTTAAAGTAGATGAGATGGGAGAAGCACACTATGAAGTAGTACTTCAAAATATTACAAATGCTCTCTCTGATCTTGGAGAGCAGACTTGGCTAAAACTATGTGATTCCCCCACCCACTCACCCTGGCAGTTGGATCGTTCTTCAACTGTGATGAAAGGAGAGTGCCCTTCACTGTTCCTGAGTGTAGCAGGTTAGCTTAGGGTAAGAATGGAGAATCTCAGGTTCCCAGATGGCTATCCCCACTTGCCTCCAGCTGCCAATCATTGGATGTAAGATGTAAGCCAGTGCAAGTTTAGTGCACATGGTTTACATGCAGATGGTCCAAGTTCAATTGCTGACATGTCAAAGGATCCAAAGGCTGCTTTTCCCACACTGCTGCCATCCAAATGAGTTGGACTACAACTTTAGCCCAAGATATAGGAATGGGAGTCATAGTATAGGTTAGGGGACAAGTGGTTGGAGAGCAGCATTTCTGAAAAGGATCTTGGGGTGCTGGTCAACTGCAGGCTAAACTGAGTGAGCAGTGTGCCAGAGTGGGCAAGAGGGTGGACGCCACCCTAAGATGCAAAGCCAGAAGCATGGCTTCAAGACCGAGAGAGGGATTACTGCCACTCTGTATGACTCTGGTGCACCCACAACTGGAGTATTGGGCTCAATTCTGGGCCCCTCATTACAAGAGGGATGTAGCAAGGCTGGAACTGGTGCAGCGAAGGTCCACAAGGATGGTGGCTGGTTTGCAGGGTAAGCCCTATGAGGCGAGCCTGAGGGAACTGGGTCTTTTCAGCCTTGAGAGGAGGAGACTCGAGGGACCTGTTAGAGACATATAGATACACGAGGGGATGTCACGCAGAGCTAGGTTGTGGCCTTTTTTCCCTTGTGGATGAGAGTAGGATGCATTCCAATAGAGCAAAGTCCAGGGAACCAGGTTCAAGGTGGATGTCGGGAAGTACTTCCTGACAGTCAGGACCCCTACGGTATGGAACCGGCTTCCATGGGAGGTGGTGGAAGCCCCATTGGTGAGGGTGTTCAAGGATAGGCTGGACATGCACATGTTGAACATGTCATGAGTGGAGCCGGCTGGAGCTGGGAGTCAGACTAGATGGCCCAGGAGGCCCCCTCTGACTCACTTTGTTTCTGTTTCTATATGTGGAGGGCACTAGGTTGGGAAAGCTTATCTAAAGCAACAGTGGTGGGAAGTATTTTGGCCTGAACCCCAAAGGGCCACTGCTTGTCACAGCAAACTATACTGGGAAATAACTGGATAGTCTGCACAGCAAAAAGCAGTTTTGTATGTCCATTGCAAACAAGTTCAAGCTGGAGAACTGCAGAAGCTACAAGCCACTAGGACAGAGGCAAACCATGACAGGTGGGCAGGCCCACTTGAATTGCACCACACCTCAGAATTGTGCAAGAACTCCCACTGGTCTTAGAGCAGGGCATATGTTGCACACACCTGGGCCACAGGAAGCACTCCATCCTGCCACGCTCACCCCAAAATGGGAAGGGCTCCACCTGCAAACCAAGGAGTACAAGGAATCCTTCATCTCTTTGAACATTTGTCTCAGTTTCAGAACCATCAGCAATTCTTACTTTAAGTCACACATCACCTCTGGGGAAAGAAGGAAAGAGAGAAAAATTGTTATCAGAAGAACCAGACAGTACGGATCGTTCCTTCAGAGATGCACATAAAAGAGCACAGAAGTTCCATCTTGCAGGTAGGCCTGAGACTGCCATCAACCATCAGAGTCTTGGTGGTAACGGTCTGTTGCCACAATCCAACACAATGTAGCATGGTTGATTTAAACCTTTCTTATGTGCTCATTAGTTTGCCCAAATTCTGTCTGTCAGACCAGATCCATGGCAGACAGTCGTTCAGTAATGTGAGATATTTAGTAGATTCTTTTCCAGGGATGACTTTAATCCACATGAATTAGTTTCTCTGAGAAAATCCAGTGGGGATGGCTTCTAAGAATCCAGGCTGCTCTCTTGAATCTCCCCAGTCTTTTCTATGCTAAGATGTCATCCAAGGATTACAAACTTTACACAAAAGGATGCTTTCTGAAGGGGCGGTGGATGTTGGAGAAGGCCAGCAGAGCAGCTTGACTAGTCTGTTTATCAGAGTACATCCAAATCAGCAGACCAGGCCGTGCGGTCACTGTGCTTGGGTTGCCATGTGCCCTTGCAACCACACTGCAGCAGTTCTGATATATGTGTGCAAACTGGAGCATTTGCCAAATTTACCATTAATAACCATCGGAAAACTAACAGGTAAGAAAAGTTGTGACTTGTTTCCATGTTAATAACATCACCAAGCATCCACTAGACAAACAAACCAAACAATGCCCCTAACAATACTTAGCTTGGAAAGATGTATATGTACATTTGTACTGAAATGCAGCAATGGTCCCTTTATAAATTAAGCCAAGTGACCATCAGAGTAATGCTTAATAGTGAAATTGTAGGGATCTGTGCTGAGCTGAAATTCCGGGAGTTGCTGGAGGCGCAGAGGTCAAAAAGGCTGCCTTGAAATGTGATTTTCCTAGATTCTTTTCTCAACGTCTCCCAGATTGTCACTGCCTCCCTGTGGCACTCCCAGAGGGCAGTCATGGCACAAGTGTGAAATTCATCCCAGTATCTACAGCAGGGGAGGAAAAAGGAAATGGTCAATTCAATGTTAAGAAGTCACAGGTAGACGTGGTCTAGCTCTTGAGAAGAATACAAAACTCAGTACAGCTGGCTGGGGGATACTGGGAACTGTAGTCCACCATATCTTCTGAGTACAGATTGGAGAATGTTTCTGTACCCTAACTGGTGATTTTGACCTATATGAGATCTGCCTTAGACTTTTCAGTGGTGAGTCCATCCTTCCTAAAGGGCAAGTGAGACAACTCAAATAGAAGCACTTCCTTTCTGGAAAGCAGAGGAACTTCTGTGCATTCACTACAATGAATAGGATGCTCCTTCTGTAGACCACATTACTGTAGATTTAAGGTATGTGAACAACCTGTCTGGCAGCTTCTTTCCCCAACATGGAGCCTTCCAGACCATTTGTATTACAGCCGCCTTCATGCCTGACTATTGACCATGCCAGCTGGGGCTCACTGGAATTGTAATATAAAACATCTGGAAGATGCTAGGTTGGGGGAGCGTACCTAACACTTGGCTTTTGTTCATATGAATATACTGTAGCCTAAATGAAAAAATGTTAGGTGGATGTCGAAGGAACCTAGTTCCTACCAGGGCTTCTTAAATGAATGCCTTGACCTCCAAGATGGGGTAATTTAGGGAGTTTTATCCAGCTAGGTGCAGCTTCTGCCTGAGCATTCCAGGGTAGATTTGTATTTGCCCAGAGTTCCAGCCTGACATTACCAGCCACAAATCAATCCAGCAACCAGGGTACAAAAACCACTTTAATTGATAAAGTTGGAGCCCTGCAAACAAGCTTCCTTATCTATTTCCAAACTCTTTAAACCATTAGAGGAGGGAAAGAAACCACCTCTGTTTCTCCCTCCTCTATTTGCCTCTTTGCTAAGGGCAAAAGAGTGCTGCCAAGCCAAATAACATGCTCTGTGACAGCCAATCTGTGGCCTATTCAAGAGCAAAAGCTGTTATTTTACAGTTTAGTCACGAGGTGGCACTAGACTTAGTGGCATGCGGAAGAATTGTTAAGATGTTAACAACTTAAGTTGTTCCACCAGCAGAGACTGATGAAATCCAAAGGATTCCTGAATGCTCTGAGGGCTTTTGCAGGAGCCAGAGCTGGCAACTCTCTGAGTCCCTTGTCACACCATGAAATGTTGAGTTGTGACAGGCCATTGACACAATCGCTCCCGAGTGTTCTCTTTGACATTACAGAACAAGGAAGGCTGCTTGGCTTACTAGCAAGTGCGGAAAACTGAAACAGATCAGAAGATAACTGATCTGATACAGGAGTATGAGTGGTGTATATGATTCATCATGAAGGTGATCAAGGGCTCATTTAAGCACACAGAATCACACGTACTGCATGGCAGCAAAGGCAGCAAAGAAAGCCTACTTAACACCTGCTTCACATCCTCAAGTAACAGTCCTGCTGAATTTTTTCTCAGCTGAGGGTTGCTTTCATCAAATTCAGTGATCCCAGTACTGGAACCCTTGGAGGCCCACTGTGATGAGTTGTGCATCAGGGATAAAATTGCTCACCTTCACACGGACTTGAGCACTGCTTTCAATGCAGTGTCTGTTGAGCTGTCCAATTCATTGTTGTATCCTGTCTTGTGGGATCAATTTCACTGTCTGGAGCCTAAGGAAGTAGCAAGATGCTTGTATCCATCTGACCCACCACATGCTCTCTCACCCCATGGCTTTTTGAGCTAACCACAAGGAACTGACCAGATGGATCAAGGTAGTGCTGACCATATCAAGGTGTGATTGTGTGGTCCATACTGCCTTGAAAGTAGTACATGCAGTCCCCAAGTTAAAAAATCTGAGTTACAAAAAGCCTGTACTCATGAGCCAACTGCCATAAAACCTATTGATTTTTTAAAAATTCCTGTGGAAAATCGTCATCACATTGAGGAAGAGGAAGTGAAAGGGGGGAGAAGGAGGCCACCTCCAAAGCATGCCTTCCTGTCCCACTCACCCAGAATCTCTCCAGCATTTCCTTGCTGCAAAGAGGAGACACTGGTGAGCATTGGTGGGTAGGGCTGGAGATATTCATGGTTTTTACTTTCACAGCAGTCCTGCACCCCTAACCCACCCAAATGTGAAGGACTGACAGTATGTGATCTGACTTACATACCAATTTGACTTAAAGATGAATTTCCATTTTCTCCAGAATGGAACTTGCTCCTAACCTGGGGATTACCTACAGTGGTGTTACTACTCCTGGAAAACCATCCCTGGATCCATAGATCTGTGCCAACAAACAGCCCCAATTCTGAGTAAAATGCTCAAGAGGGTGATGGTGTCTCAGCTGCAGGCACTCTTGAATGAAACCAGTTATCAAGATCAACTCTAGTCTGTGCTGAGGCACAGTTTTGGGACAGAATTGGCCTTGGCCGCTCTGCTGAATGACCTTCTTCAGGAGAAGGACAGGAGTTCAACTTTGCTGCTTCTTGATCTCTTAGTGGCTTTTGATACCACTGACCACAGTATCCTCCTAGACTTGCTTGCAGGAGATGAGAGTTGGAGGCACTGTTCTACAGTGGCTCAACTCATATTGGCAGGGGCAGTTCCAGAGTGCCTGGGCCTCAGCTGCGGGGTGCCACAGTAGGCCGCCTTGTCCCCGATGGTATTTAACGTCTATCTGAAGCCATTGGGAGTGGCCATCCAGAGATTTGGGTCAAGGTGTCACCAGTATTCTGGTCACACCCTGCTCTATTTCTCTATGGCATCTGAGTCAAAACAGGCTGTGCACATTCCGAACCTGTGCCTGGAAGGAGTCATTGCTTGGATGAAGACCAGGAACCTGAAGCTAAATCCTGATAAGAGTGCTTCCAGTCCGGGAATTGGGCCCTTTGCCTGTTCTGGATGGGGTTGTACACATAATCAGGGGATGCTCCTGGATCCTTCTCCATCACTGGAGGCCCTGATGACAACAGTGACGGACAACAGTGCACCCATTCCCAGCTTCCCATGACATACATAGTTGGTACGCCAACTATGCCTGCTCCTGGATAGCAACAGTCACAGAAATCCATGCACTGGTAAGTTCACGACGGGACTGCTGTGATGTGCTCTCTGTGGAGCTGCCCCTGCGCCGGGCTCAGGGGCTGTGCCTTGTGCAGAATGCATAATGCAGCCGCTAGGGGGCGCACTGAGGCACCCGGCTACGAGCACTTAAAACCTCCAGAGGCTGGACTCCGTGGCGGCGCCTATGGCAGCCTTCTCCCACCTGGTGCCTTCCAAATGTTTTGGGCTATATTTCCTATCAGCCCCAGCCAGCTTGGCCAGTGGCCGGGGATAATGGTAGTTGTGGTCCAAAACATCTAGATGACACCAGGTCTGCAAAGGCTGTCCTATGCAATCATGGAGCAGCGCTGGTTTCTCTCTCTCTCTCTCTCTCTCTCTCTCTCTCTCTCTCTCTCTCTCTCTCTCTCATATATATATATATATTTGAGTATCTATCCACATGCCAGCTGTAAAGAGCTCATTAAATAGAACTATTGTGGCAGAATAAATGTCCTGAGATAATAACAAGAAAGGCTGGTGCCAAACAAGGTAAACTCTGGTCTACAGCAGGGCTTTTCTCCTGTAACCTTCAGGAATGTAATTGTTGCAGTGGGGGATTGGCGCAGCCATTCCAACACGGGGCGGTTCAGAATTATCAGATTGAGACAAACAGAGGCAGAGCAAAAAATGGAAGCTGAATCGCTAACCGCCACTGAAAGCAGCTTGTTTGTTTTTTGCTTTCCTGCTGCCCCTTCCCACTGGGTGATTGCAATTCCCAGAATGCCTCCATTTTTACAGCCGCCATCTGTTCAGCAAGACAGGCCATGATCATGTGACCCATCAGCGTCAGACGCTGGGGGAATGTTGTACAAATAAACGCACTCACACCCCACACCTAACAAATAAAACTAATTCCATAATAGGTTGCTTTTGGAGGCATCCATTATTCTGATCTCCAAATCTGTCACTGACCAGCCTTTTCTCACTAGTAGAAAGAAAGAAAAACATAGACCAGAAACTTCCGGGGGGGGGGGGGCTCATTTCATTTACATTATAGCATGCAGGAAAGAAAGAAGAGAAGAAGGGAGGCAGGTTAGGGAATATTCTGCATTTAATTTATTTATTTTTCTGATTGGAAAGTTTGTAAATCTTGCTTTGCCGTGATAGGGGATGTATATAATCTGTGTGTAAGTAAATGCAACCCATTGCTGTGTAGCAATACAAGGTGAATTCAGTGGTCTATATAAATTATGCCAATTAAGCGGATAGTCACATGCTTGCATATTTCTCTTCTCCTATTCAAGCAAAGTGGCAAATAACTGGGCAGGGTACTGACTACATAAAACTTGTCTCCCCATTACCTTTTTATATTTGATCCAGCTTATGGACTAGAAGCTTCTTACTGTTTTTTTAATCAGATGTTGGATGCAACATATGCACAGAGTGACTACACAAAGTCTCTGACATTGCCTGTCTTAGTACAAAACTGCCCACTACAAACAACATTTGAGGCCAACTTCCAGGAGACATTCAGAGGATGGCAAGAAATGAGAGGACTTTTTGGTGGTCGCCCCCAATTCTGTAATGCTATCCCCAAAAAGATCTCTGTGGTGCCAAGTAGAAACTTTCCTTTATTCCCAGCCATTTTATGGCATATGATGAGCTCTTTAAGTATAAGTTGGATTGTTTATGACTATCACTAATTTTTTAGATTTTGTTGTTTTCTGTGTGTGTTGGGGAGGTATTTTAGCAGATAACTGGTTTCAGCTGTTTTCAAATGCATTTAAAAAAAAAATCTGTTGTAAATTGCCTTGAGTCTTTTTTTGAGAAAAGCATCTAAGGGTGCAATCCTATATGTGTTTATATAGAAAAAAGTCCTATAACTCCCAGCATTCACTAGCCAGGCTCTTGATATTTAATAAAATAAATAATGTTTTAATGATGACTTTTGCCAATGCAGTATATTGGTAGCTCTGATCCAGGTCTGTCCCTAAAACTTCCAACATGGTTGGCTCTTGAAAGAAGGAGAGAGTTAATTCCTTCTGCTACCTCTTTTTGCATCATGGTAATACCGGTACATCGCTAATGTGCTGGTCATTGCAGCAAGAAAGTATTCAGTTCTGTATTCCTTTCCTTTTGAATCTCTAAATGTGACCTTATGTTGGAGCTCTGCACTTTTAATTGGTATGATTGGTGATATCATATATATCTTTTTTCCATTGATTTCCTCCTTTTTAAAAAAAAATCCTGTAGTAAATGTCAGAAAGTTCCACTCTTTTACAAAGCAGATTAGAAGTGAAAACAGAGACTAGAGAAAGAAGGTGAAACAGCGGAACAGGAGCTCAGTCGGCTCTGGATATTCCACTCAAGCTGGAGCAGTGAGCTCAGCAGAATTGTCTTTGCCATTTCCTTCCATTGCCAGTGCAGTGCAGTAGTTAAGAAACTGAGCTACAGATTGGAAAGTCCCTGATTCAAGTCTCACCAAGCTGGCTTTAAGCAAACCACTCCCTTTAAGTCTCAGCCTCCTGCTTCCCATCCCCATTTACAGTATAAGGGATAATAATGTCAATTCACCTGCCAGGTTTGTTGCAAGGATTGCAATTAAATAATGCATGGGACAGTTCAGGACACTGTGCCGGCTTTCCCCACCATGGGGTCCTCCAGATGTTTTGGACTTAAATCCCCTCCGGTTTCTGCCAGGTGGCATTGGCCGAGAATTCTAGGATCTGTAGTTCAAAACGTCAGGAGGGCACCAAGCTGGAGAAGATTGCACTACACAAATGCTTAGCAGTAGAGAAAGGCATAGTGGTATTGCTCCTAAAGCTAGAATTCCAGTTCCAGTGATGTTTTTGACAGGTTATCTTCCCTCCTCTAAGACCTTTTCTTCTTCTTCGTTAGCCCTGATGAATAGAATACATTGTCACACCCAAATCTATCCTGTCCTGTCCTTTCTCCAGGTCCTAGTCTTATTTATTGCTGTTTCTGCCTTTCTGATCTCAGCAGCCCTTCCCACAAAAGCCTGGCTATGCCTCCCCACAGTTTCTAGCTTTTCTCTGATTGCTTTCCACATTTCTAATTTCTCCTTTGGCCTTCTCAATCCAGCATATTCACACCTGGAACTTTCAATGACACCCATTTATCTCAGAAAAACTCTTTATATCTTCCTTCTCTCTTGCTCACTTTTAATCAGGCCCTCTTCCCAGACATGCTGCAGGCTGAACTTCAATAGCCTTGACGTTTTGCTGCTTTATTGCTTTCCCCATGGTCCTGATTAGATTACGAGGAAACAAATGGCCATGTCTGTCATAACCTCAAGCTTCTCTTTGTGAAGCAACCTATGATATGGCCAGACCACAGATCCTTCCAAAGAGCTTCAGCGCAGGTGAGTTTGAGGCTATCTCAGGCTGGTTTGCATTTAGGCTTATAATCAGTGCATCTCACTGATCATCACTGTCCACTATATCAAAGGCACTCGATACACTTTCTCTGCAGCATCCCAGCCACACAAGATAAGCAGCTTCTAGCATGGACAGGAACTGAGAAACAAGCCATGTTTGATAGAGATGGTGCAGGACCAGGATAGGAAGCCTTTTTCAGCCCAAAGACTGAAAAGGCTCCCAGGAGCTACATTCCAGTAATGGGCAGATCCAAAAGCAGAGGGGATAGGGTAGAAATACAAAAATAAAATAGCAACACATTTAGGTTGAAGCAGTTATTGCTAGTAACTAAGCCCTGGAGGCATTTCAACCTCTCAGAATAGTGAAAAGCTGCACAAAAGTCAGGAAATGATAACTGACTGGGGGAAAGGGGGCAGTTTTCTGAGGAACCTCAGGAGGGCTGCGGGGGGGGGGGGGGCTAGACCTGTGGTTCCCCATCCCTGGTTTCACGGGTCCTTGGATTAAAGGATCCTTGAAAGAATGAAATTGAGGTTGGTGCAAACCTCATTGACCCCAGTTTCCTTCCTCCAAGAAGCTTGAGGCCAAAGGCAAAGAAATGGCTTCCCTCCAACATACCAGCCACCCAGCAGACAGATGCCTCATTCCTGTGCTCTGCTCTCCAGGCTAAACCAAAAAGTGACCTGATTATTCACACACATTACAACAGTTTTGCCGAAAAGCTAGTGGGGTTTCTCTGGAGCATAAGGAGAATGAAACCCATCATTTACCTGCATTACCTCCCCACACCCTGCTTTTTTCAATACTTCTCCCTCCACACCTCTCTTTCTGGAACCTGGCACAGTGTGCTGGAATAGTAAAGGGAAGGCAGGGCAGAGTGTCTCTCTATTCCCCACCACACACACATCCTGGCTTCCCTTTAAAGGGCTCCCCGCTCCTGCTTTATAGTCAAGCTGGCAAACGCGTTTTCAGCTTGCATGCATGCACATGGTTTAGCCCTAATACTGCCTGCACACATGTGCTACCTTCCATCTTTGCATTTTGGATTTGTCCTCCATTTGACTCTTTTAAAAAGTATTTTCTGACTACCTGGGGTGTCCCTGGAGAGACAGCAAGATGCTCCTATATTTCAGGAGGAGCCCCAGGTCCACACAGGACCAGCCCCTTAACCAGAAGAGAAAATTCCATGGCAGTATTTCAAAAAATAGTTAGGGGATGTGCAAGAGGGGAATCTTAGGTGGGATGGGGACTCGGAATTAATTTTTCATTAGAAGCAGGGTGTGTCAGTGATGGAGGAGCATCGGGGTGCTATGTGCAGGCACTGAAGAGATTAGAGGGTTTGCTGCTCACCCGCAGACAGCATGCAGTCCTTGCACTGGTCTCTTTCCCTCTTCAGGCTCCTCTTCCTGTTCATAGCTGGCCATGTTTTCTCCTAGCTTTAGGATGCAGTCAGAGAAATCTTGGTAAATGTTTTCACACTGAGCTTCTGCAGTCAGGGATTTGAGCAGGTACCCTGCCATGGAAAAAGAGATGCATTTAACTTTCCCAGTACAAATAATATCTAGGCAGCCGAGATCCAGTGCTTTGAAGCAGAAACCCACCTCCCCTACCATATTTCCTGGTCATAATATGAGAGCCAGCATGAAGCAGAAGACACACTCGGTGGTACTCAGATCGAGGAGACCTACATTCAAGCTGAGGGCCTGGAACTCAGCTGTAAAGCTGACTGGGCAGCCTTGGGCCCGTACTGTCACCTGGGGCCTAGCCTATCCCACAAAGTTGTTGAGAAGGTAAAATGGGCGAGGGGAGCAAAACCACACACATTGCAAAGGTCTTTGGAGAAAGAGATAGTCAAAATGTAGTTAACAAACATATAAACTATAAAGGTGTGTCTGATTCATTCCGAGATGCATTGCTGTGTTTGCAGAGAGCCTGGCTAATATAGATTTAACACATGAGATGTTCTTTATCATATTTTCTCTGGGGATGCTGAAACTAATTCAGCTTGAGGCTGTCAGCTCCCGCACCACTTGCAACAACCTGGGATCCTGGTTTGGTTTGGTTTGGTTTTTTGACAACTGCAGAACTGTGGCAGGCAAAGCTCTCCCCTTCCATTTTACCCCCTTGCGGGGATGGAGATTTTTACATAATAAAACGGCGCCTGCTAACATGCGGGCAATGAATGGCAAGAGGCACAGCCCGGAGACGCGGTTGCCAGCCCCCTGGTGATGCCCACACGGCCACACGCGCACGCTGCTGTTCCAAGTCGAAGTTGGTCACCCGGTACAGATCCGCACGACCTTTCTGTTGTAACTGAAACCAAACTCTATGCGGGGAGTAAAGCAAATCGCGCAGCCCGGAGAGGATCGCGCGTCCCTGGGAGAACGCAAGCTGGGGCTTCGTACGTTTTAAATAGGCTCCAGTAAGCCGGCGCTCGCCGGAGAGACTGGGCCACAGATCCCATCGGACTGAGGATGATGGGCGCTGTAGCTAGCCGGTCTAGCAGGCGCCGGCTTGGGGAGGCAGGCTGCTGTCCCGCTCTCCAGAGCGAGCCTCCCAGAGCACGCCCCGTCCCCACCGCGGCCAGCGCCTCTCTCGGCGCTCGGGCTTACCCAGCGCCAGCAGCAGGAACAGCCCCGTCGCCGCCGACCGGCGTCCCATCGCCGCCTCCTGCAGCTGCCTGTTCAGGGGCTCCGGCTGGACTCCATCCCCGACCATCCAGAGCGTGCCATCCGCAGGAGAGCGCGTGTGTCCACCTGGAGGAGGCACCGGCGCCCGTTCAGCCCGCTCTCCACGGACTTCTCGGTGCTCCTGGTGGTAGATCAGCGCAGGAGAGAACTTGGGCAGGCAGCTCAGCGGGCGCGCCCAGCCCACGAAGTGTGGAAGAGGACGGCTCCCTTCTTCCCGTCGCCTCCTAGGCAGGGTTAGCTCAGCCCACCTGGAAAGCTGGCTGCTGCTTGCGCTGGTCGTCAGCCCAGCTCCCTAGAGAGCTGCCCCCCCCCCTCGGGAGCGGTGTTCAGTCCGGGAAGGAGTAGCCACGCTCTGGCGAAGTGGGACATGAGGAGGGGGAGAAATCAGAGGCAAAGAAGCACAACCACCCACAGACCGTGATGATTACGGAGCGTGGGATGGCGCGCAGGGCGTGTGCGGGTGTCTCTTAGTGTGGACAGGTGCAGTACAAATCCTATGCAAGTTTACTCCAGAGTAAACCCACTGAAACTAGTGGGGCTTACCTTCATGTGCCCGGTTGCATCCTGGAAGGTTTAAGGGGGAAATAGATTTTTAAAAAGTTTTTATTTAGTATGACCTTTCTATCCCACCTTGTGGGGACTAAAACCTGAAACTCCTGAAGCCAGGGTCAGCACTCCAGCCAGCATGCCACTCTGGTTTTCAGATCTGTATAAAGACTGAAGATCTGGACCAGTTCTATTTTCATGCTCTCTGGGCATTATCAAATTAATTAATTAAGGCACTTCTTTCCTTCCTTTTCAGGGACAGAAATAGAAGGAACTTTAAAAGTGAGAGAACTTTATTTAGGCAACCTGTTTAACCCTCTCATTTAAAAGATGGATTTGCAAGTGTTCCAGTTATGCTGAATTTTATACTTGCAGCGACTATTGCATGAATTCCTCACACAAGCAAATTGATGCTCAAACAAGAATTTTACTCTGTATGGTGTAAGAAAAGCCAGATGTTCAAGCAGTATACAAAAAAAAGAAGAGACACTCAAAATCATGATGCAAATATACAGTGGTATCTGGAGTGCATCAAAGAATGGTTTTCTGTAGGCAAAGACATCAGATAAGGGTGTATTTATCTTTCAATCTGTACATAGAACATGCCATAAGGAAATCTTGATTATGATCAAAGGAAAGAGGAATGAAAATTGGTGGTAGATGCATCGATAATTTAAATTATGCAAATAGTACCATATTACTGGCAGAAAGCAGCAATGAACTGAAGCAACTCCTAATAAAAGTGAAAGAAGAAGGTGCAAAAGTTGGACTGCAGCTAAACATTAAGAAAACGAAAATCATGACTACACAAGATTTGCACAGCTTTGATGTCAACAATGACGAAATTGACATCATGAAAGTTTGCATTCCTTGGCCCAGTCACCAGTTCAGGCGAGACTGCAGTCAAGACAGACTGAAACTTGGGCAGCAATGAAGGAGCTGCAAAAGATCAAGTGTAAGGATATTTCACCGGAGACTAAGGCTAGGATTTTCCACAATGTTGTATTCTTAATCTCTATGTATGAGTGTGAAAGATAGACAGTGAAGAAAGTTGACAGAAAGAAAATGGAGGCTTTCAAAACATGGTGCTCTTGTGCAAACTTCATTCCGTGAGTGTCTGCAGACTTCTCAGCTCAGCTCACTTTCTCCAACTGAGCTCTGCATGAGAGGAAGTCTGCCCACGCTAGAGGGATGGATTCCGTTGAGTTTCATCCCAGCCTTACCCACTGAGAGCTTTCTCCTCCATGAATTTATCCAATCTCTTTTTAAAGCCTTCCAAAGTGCTCACCATCACTACATCTTGTAGAAATGATTTCTATAGCTTAACTATGCGTTGTGTGAAGAGGTACTTCCTTGTATCTGTCTTAAATCTCCCACCTATCTAATGCCTCAGGTGGCTTCCTCACTCACCTAATGATAGGTCTGGCCTTGCACCACTCCTCCAGCTTGCTCAAAAAAGCCAAGATCAGGAGGGCATGTGCTTGTCCGTGTCCTTGGTCCTGAAAACTGGACACCGATTCTACACAGCTATTCCAAATGGTGCACCAGATACCAAAATCAGATACACTACAAAAATGGGTTCAAGATCTTTGTGGAGACAAGTGTTTTTACCTTTTAAGTGTCATGACAACCAGTCACAATGACACTGTGTGGGTTTTAACACCCTTTTACTGTGATAGATGTTACCAAACTTCAAACCACATGAAATAACTCATCTAGCTGGCTAGATGAATATGCTCTGGGGGCAGCAAAACATATCCTCTTTTCTGCTTAGCCTGTGAAACAATAGGAATACCTCTGGACATTTTGGACTTCAACTTCCAGAAGTCAATGCCAGCATAGCCAATGATCACGAATGCTGGGAGCTGAAATCCAAAATATCTGGAGATCTGCTTTCTGCCCACCTCTGAGCTAGCACATGTTTCATCGCCTTCTCTCTGAGTCTTTGTGCTCTAACAATTGTTAGCCCGCTGGAAAAAAATCGCCCCATTGATTGCTGACAATCAAGCTGTGTTAAAGGCACAAGAGCATGCTAGGTTCTTGTGTTATTGTTTTCTCCTTGCCAGCTGGCACCCCTATTCTGAGGGTGTTTTTGCATGAGGTGCTTAAAATCTCACTTGAGCCTCTCCAGTGCTATTTTTGTCACATGCAAATGTTACTGATGTAGGAAAGAAATCAACTGTACATTCTAGACAATGCAGATTTTATTATCATGCTGCAAAAGGTAGTTGAACCAATAAAGCACTTGAGTTTCCCATGTGTAAACACCCTAAACTACTAGATGGTTTTGGAACTACAATGTAGTTTCCTTGTGAAGAGACAACACTGGAGACCTTGGACATTTTTATAATGTCTCTTTATTGGTGACTAAAAATAAATTGAATTGAATAGCAGACAAATAGAAAGGACTGAGTTCCACGATGCCTTGGCTTCTTCTTGAAAGTTAGTTGCAAAATTCAGACATATCCTCATTTCCAGTTGCAATGGCTTCTCCAGGCCTCACTCAAGTAAGTTGGGGGTGCTCTCACTCAGCAGCCAACAGCCATCAAAGTTCATTCAAGGAAAGGGGTTGGATCCAGCCTGCTTTTAGTCATGGGTAGATTAGATGGACTGAAGTCGGGTAGACTTATGTTAGGCATGACTAAATTGTCTCATTGAATCTACCTGGGTCTCATTGGGTCTACTCTGGATATGATTATAGTTTAGAGTAGTGGGATCTTATAGCCATGGATGCCATTGAGTTAACACTAGAAATATCAACTAACCATCAACAGCTTGAGATGAAGTTACCTGAAACACCACATTGTCTCAGACAAACTCACCTGGTTTTTAAGATCACTGGGAATGGTGATTATCCTGGTCCTACCTGTGACTGCAATGCATTTGTCAATGAGTGAAGAAAGCCTTTTGAGTGTCTGGGTTCAAGCTCTGAAACTCCCTTTTCCATGGTGATTTTCCAAAGGTGGGAGAAACATTTATCATACCTTTAGCCTTGAAACCTGATCTATTTTATCTTCTGCTGCTGCTTTTAATTTACTCCTTTCTTTCTCCCTTAACCTGCATGTTTTATTCATTTTTAAATTGGCATACATAAAGATACAAACACACAATATTTTATATGATTGCTTTCTGTTGCATTTTATCTGATTTGTTAGCCATCCTGGGCACAATTGTGAGGTCAGGCATGACTGAAATGTAAATGTAAATAAATAAATGTTCCTTAGCAAGCACATGAAAAACAAAAGGTCTGCCATCTCTTTTCTGGGCACAGTTTTAGATTGTACTGGTATAGTAAAAGTGTAGCACCATCTGCTGGCTTTCCTTGCAATCTAGGAAGAAATCCAGTTACACTTTTCAAAAATGATTAGAATAGCAGTTATACAATATCCTTAGAATTAGTCCTATGAATACTTCTGCACTTTGAAGGTAGCACAAAATGTAACATTCACAAGGACATGGAGGTGTAGAATCCCATGCTAAAAATATATATCCCAAAGTTGAAAATTGGGTGGGGGAGGAATCACTCTACATGCAGAAGTCGGGATTTAAAGGGCAGGCTGTGCCTTCTTCAGAAAAGACTTCCTGAGAAAATGCATCACATTCCAGGTGACGTAATTCTCTTTCCTAAAAGCAAAGGGAATTTAGCTTTGGCTCTGAATCAAGCTAATCCTGTGTACTTCAGGTTCCTTACAAAATAAATATGAATTGCTAGACCTATAATCCTAGATCTTTTTCCTTTCAGATGTGCTCTTTGGCATGTGAGTGGGAACAAGCCTGAAAAAAGGAATGTCCTATTTATCCTGGTCTTCAGTTACTGAGCCCAATTTTACCTTCTCAGCTGCATTCACATGCGCTGCAGTTCCCTTGCATATGTTGTTGATCCATGCAGAAATGCAGTAAGTAAATAAAATAAAACTCCCACTATCTGAATCACTCAGCAGCAAATTTTCCATCCCCTCATGCCAAGGGGAATATCTGCCCCTCCAGTGGGCCCTTTGCTCTGCCAGTGGACCCTGGCAGGTGGTGACCGGCAGTGGCTGCTGTGAAACTTCACAGCTGGATCCAGCTGACATTGATGTTTTCCCACAATGTCCCAGTATGACATCACTCCAGGGCACTGTGGACTTAAGTCCTGGTTAAACCCATCCACCTGGGGCATCTAGAGCACTGAAATAGGTGGGGGCAGTGGAAGCTGCCTCTCCCCATTAATATCCAGCTAACCATTAAGATCTTCACAGCAGGCCATCCTGTGGCAAATGGAATGTCACCATAGAACAGAATATCTCAAGAGTGGCCCTTGGCAGTAGTGGTACCCACGCTCTGGAATCTACACAATTCCAGAGACAAAAATGTGAGGGTTTTAAATGCCTCCTGAAAAGGGAGTTTGACACAATCTTTTCTGGCTTGGAATTGATCATCATGATGCTGCTCTGTTTTATTGTTTCTTTGCATGGATTCTTTTCATTTATTTTTATACTTGTAATGGCTTATTACCAGTGCATTTAACAGTGACTTTTACTAATTTTATATGTAAACTGCTTGCAGAGCATTCCAATGGCTCCAAGACAGCATCAAGATCACAGATTTTTCGGGGTCCTCACTTCAGTGTCAGGCCTCGGACTCCACACTCACAGCACCTCCACACCCAGCCCAGTCTGGCACGGAGAGAACTGGCAGCTTCTCCAAAGCTACAAAACTGACCTCAGTGAAAGGTTTTGGGGGGGATTCTGGAGATGGGGAGGGAAGAAGCACATGCTGCCAATAAAGGATGCGTTCTGGTGTTGTCTCAGCCTCCTTCCCTCCTCCCGCAAAGCGCAGCGGCTAGAAATCAGTTCTGCACTCTTCCTGCCCTGTGTAGTGTTGTGAGCTAGTCACTTCCTTATTTCACAACCTTTTTTCATTAAAACCGAAACGAAATGCTAGAAACACAGTTCTTTTATTGAAACTGAACTAGCAACAGAATGGTATGAATCAAAGTAGAGTTCTCCTTGAGATGCTGGAGAAACATCTGCCCATGCAAAGAGCTGAATCCAAACTGAAATCTCATCTCCTTCCCTCCCATTCAGAAAAGTTCTTCTCTTGCTACTTGTGCTGTTGATGGAAGAATGCCAGAAACTTCATAAGCGGTCTGCTCACTTCACCTGCCATTGCCCAACTGGGTCAAGGAGCCCTTTGTGCATCTTCTCCCCCTTGCACCCTAAAAACCTTCCACCCTTTCCAAGGTGGGCAGATTCTCATGCACTGCTTGAGAAACTTCACTAGGTAACCTTGAAACTGTCAACTCTTTCACCAGTCCCCCCTCCTCCCCGCTTGCTCCTATTCCTATTCCTCAGAATCAGGCAAACCCATTTGAGAGTACTGAAACATGCAGGAGATTACTTATTTACTTATTTCTATACCACCCATAGCTGAAGCTCTCTGGGCACTTTACAACAAAGTATACAAATGATGAGAGAGAGAGATGGATCCCCTTTCTACACATAGGACGCTTGCAATCCAGCGTACAGAGGGTTATAGGCACCTCCACAGGTCTGCATTCTTAGAAATTTTATTACGTTGTGTAGAAGTGATCTAAAAATTTATTTGTCTGCTATGATTTGGCCAAATTCCCCCCCTCCCCCCTGATGCCTGTTTCTTCTTTAATCTTAGGACTGCAGACAGTAATGAAAACTTTGCAGGCAGGAGAACTTGCAATTTATGGATAGCCTTTCTTGGGATTTGCAGAACAAGGGTTGCTTCTAAATTCAGATCCAATGTACATTTAAAGTACATTAAACCCAGGAACCTCCTTTGGATTATCATTAAAGTTGTAGGTACTTTGAGCCACAGTTCAGTTTTAACTTGCTTGGGTTCAGAGCGCCCTCCAGTGGATAGAGACTTAATGGGCACTAAAGGCAATACCTCCTGTATAAGTCTCCACCCTAATAACCACAAGCAATTATTGTTCCAAACAGGTCCACAACAACTCCATTGCAATATTGCCATGCAAGTATGGGAACGCTGTTCATGTTTGCAACCAAATGTACTTGTTTCCTTTCCATCCCCTGCATTCCCATCCTCCACATGCTTTATTCCAGCCAGAGACAAGTTTTTTTTTCTGACTGATGCTCAATATCCCCTTTATTGCAGGAATATGACTCAATAGGACACTCAATAGATCTATGTCTTCAAAGCTTCTTTCATTATCTTCAGAACATCTGGAATCTGTGTCAGTCCAGTCAGTTCAGTATCTTAAAAGAGAAGATACAACAATTCTCACATGTAAACATTTCCAAAATATTATTCCAAAATAACTATGTATATATGTGTACATGTGTGTGCTTGAGCATGTATGTATGTTTGTTACTGTTATTATTATTTCTTATTGCTGCTTTGACCACTTAATAAATTAGGACTGATAGCTATTCCCATTATGGCTCTGGTGGTCTTCCACCCCAATGAGCCTATTAAACATCTGCCCAGTTACAATGCTGCGGCAAGGCCATCTACCCAGCCCCTTCCATTAACTCAATGTCAATGGACTTTCAGGAATATCGTGCAAAGTCTGAAAAGCAGTTCAGGCATCCTTGAGTTAAGACATGAAGAAGATCCCTATTTCCTTTGCCGATTTGGTTCAGCAACTCTGTTGAGACTAAGAACAACACACAGTTCAAGGAAAGACCCCTTGCTGTTGTTGCCTATTCTTCCTGCTTACACATTAACCTAACTCTGGTTGACCCGTGCTGAAGTAAACCAAGTTATCTTCTATAGGCACTTGAGCTGCTGCCAACAGCTTCTAGATCTGTATTTTTGTTCAGTTCAGGCAGGCCTGGAACTATTACAGGGACATTGGGGTAACTGGGAAACATTTACTTTGGCCACTGACAAAACTCTATGAAGACACTCAGACCTGGTGTTTAGGGGAGATCCGGCAGAATAGACTTTTGCCAGAGCCAAAATCCTATATACTTTATTTCTACACTTGACAAAAACAATTCAAATTGGATTGCTTACAGAATATGATTTCTGGCATTCTGAGTAATGGATGGTGATGACATGCTCCAGTGTCTCATTACAGGATCGGGTGCAGCAGGGTTTGATCCATCTCAAAGCTGATGGTCTACATAGCGTCTTGGGGGCAGGCATCTGAAACCGCCGGGGCAGGCCTTTCAGGCTAAGGGCTTCATCCAGATCTGAAGATGAAGACTCTAGGGATGCTCCAGCGGAAGGATAGACTACAGCCTCCTTGTCTATAGCAACCTCCTCAATGACCAAGATAGGCTCAGCAGCCACGCTTTCTGTTGACCTTGGAGGATCCTCAGAGGTGGCACTTGTCCTATCACATGAGCAGAATGGGAGTGTTCTTACAAATCTACATTATTTTTACGCAGTCTTTCTGCCATGGACATGGGAAAAGAAGGCTCTCTCACTTGCTGATCCAGCCACAGAAACAGCTCTTGGCTTTGATAATATTGCAGTTTTGTGTGATGGTGGAGCAGAGAAAGAGTCAGAGGAGGAGGTGATGGGGACTCACTGTGTGTAAAGTATGTTGAGGAGAAGCTCTGATGAGGGCTCTGAAGCTTTACACTAAAATGCTACCCAGCCTGGGAGGGAAGTCGGTGTACTGTTAATACCAGACACGTGGGGCACTTGGGGTGTTTCCATGTGAAGCTTTTACAGTGCAAGGGCCCTGTTTCATTCACAGAATTTTATGGGGGCTTGGCAATGTTGTCTTCTGCTTATAACACTCCGGTGCTTTTCCACTGCTTTTGCCATTTTTCTATTATTGCAGAAAATTGGTTAAGAAAAAGATGGAAATGCTGTCCAACACTTTCTAATGGCTAGCCCCAAGAGCAGGACATTTGCCTGAGGCAAAGAACAAGATGGTACCTGCCTCCTCCTTTTCCTTCTACAAAAGTAATCTGGGCTGGCGATTAGTCTGCCTTCACCACTGATGGTGGGACAGCATCCTCTACTGCATCTGAAAGCAGCAGACCACTACGAGAGGGGCACAGAACAGGCTGCTTGGCACCCAGGGCACTCCTCCAAGATGGTGCAGTCACCTCCCAGCATCTGCCCCTAAGACACCACTGAGTTCTGTATGACAGCAGGGATGGCCCTGGCCAGGAGCCTTCCATCTGGAAGCGCCATAGTTTCTTCCCATCCAACAGGTAAGGTAACAGAATAGCATGCCATTCCCACTAGTGAGATGGCTGTTGAAAGGTGGAAATGTTTGAAATTTACAGCATGGTCTGCCTTGCCATTATGAGGCTACAAATGTCAAACGTGGCAACAGGGGAGAGGGCAGATGGAGAGGATTTGCCTTCCTAGTATTGACGTGACAACAGCTGTTAACTCTGAACTGAGGAGACCTTTTGCTTTACTGCGCTTCCTAGCAGGAGGGGCTTTGGGTTCGATCCAATGTTTGTCCTACTTAGAGGAGATATGCTGAAATGAATAGGCCTTAACTCACGTGGGGTCCTTTCTCAGTTCAAAAGACAAAGATACCAAACTTATTTGTTACATTCCCATCCTCTGCAGCTTTCTAATTCTCCCAGTGAAGAGTTAGGTGAAATGACTGCTACTATTCCTTCTAACATATTGAGCAGCAGTTCCAACTTTTCCTACTAAATAGTGATTTGCCTACAAGCATGCCTGTACACACACACATGAAGGCATGGTCAACTACCTGCTGAGGGCCCACAATCCAGCAGGGGCCTAGTCTCAAGAGCCCTTTGGAATTGCTCTTCCTCCTCATTATTGCAGGTTGTTTGTTCACCTGTATTTCACTGTTCCCCAGACAATTATGTTGGTGAGATGGAGAAGCAGTAGATGCCTCTGCCTACTTTCTCACCAGCTCTCTGCCTGTCAAGAAAGCAAGTAGTAGCAATGATGAGACAAAGGATAAAGAGCAATAGCACCTGGTGACAGGAATTGTGTGAAGGTAGATATATGAAAGGAGAAGAACCAACTGAGATTGGCTTGCCCAGAAACCTGGAGCCAACCCTACATACAGATATGCACACTGTGAGAACTTGCAACTTATGGCATTCTAGCAAAATACTCACACAGAGATTCTCGCCTAAGGTCACTCACCCTGCAGGAGAAATGGAGAAATCCAAAGGACCTCCAAGTGACAGCATCTTCTGGTATTTGTGGGCTAATTCAGAGAGCCCCTTGATTCTTCGATTCTGGCTCTTTAGCATTTTGAGAAGAACCAGCTGCTTGATTATCTGTCAAAGAGGAGAATGAGAGATAGAAGACATTCACAAAGCCCTTCCACTGGTTTATAAAAGGGCTCAGCCTTCCTGATGGAATTCCCTTCTTTGCAGCTAAAGTGTTCCAACTGTTAGCAATGAAGTTGCATCTCCCCCATAAATCCTAACTAATTTAGGATTTGTCAGATCATATAAACCTTGAAGTGAGAGAATGGCACAGTATCTTACCCTCTTCAGGTGGCTCCTTACTTGTACCACATTGTTTGTCTGAGATGCTCCACTCTCCACATCATTGATCTTGGAAATGGAAAGTCAAGAGAACAGTTATGGGGGGGCAACAAAGGACCACGAATGATTAATGTATTTCATTTATAGCAGTGCTACTTATCCATATAATAACCTCATCTGCCAAATTAGGTTTCCCTCTCCATGTGGTGGTGGATGCCCCTACACCAGCTGCCCAAGGAGAGTAAAATAAAAGCTGTTCTGGAATCCAGCCTTAGAATAAAGTCCAACTAATCTGAAAACTGGTTGAGTTGAATGTTAGAAAATGCATTGAAATGTGGTGGAGAGTTCTGTGTCTAGGTAAATAAGTCAGATGGGGTTTTCTCACAGAAGTTTGTGATTCAGTGAGTCAACACATCATCATACGCTCTAACAGGAGCCTGGTGTTAGAGCAACATCACTTCATAACTTTTCCATGAAGAACCTCCCCAACACATAAGTATCATTTAGATTAGATGAGTTCTTCAGGACTCTAAACACGTATTTATTAAAAACCAGTCCTGAGAAATATTTTCAGTGGCAGTGATAGGTTATAATTTTTTTTAAAAAACTGCCTGACAAAACAAAGATGGGTAGCTCAGCTTTATAACACAAAGGCAAGACTATTGGGAGCCCAAAGGCTACACAATCCTATGCGCACTCATTTAGGAGTCAAATCCCATTGAATTCATGTTGGATTGGACTGTACATTCATTTTAATTTAGCTTTTCATTAAAATATTGTTACAGTGCCTTCCAATACAAGGTTCTCAAAGCAGTATACATCATAAGTTAAAATACAGTGGGTTTAATCCAGATCCAGATCAAGTTGTGCTAAGGGCAGATCAGATGGACAGAAGTTCCATCATGCCAAGGGCAGAATTCCATTGCAGAAGTAGATGGAACCAAAGACAAAGTAGGGATAAGCCAATCCCCCCTCAATATAGCAAATATATTTGCATGTTTTAGCTTGAAGTTTTTACTACCAGTAACTAAACATTAGGAAAGGCATTTTAACCTTTTAACATGGGGTAAAGCTGCATATAAGGCAACCACCAAGCAGCAATTGGTCAGAGGAAAGATGGGCAGGGCAGGAGAAGCCTTCTGCACAGGCTCTAGGTGACCTATAGCAATCAATAAAAAATAACATCCAAATATGCAATAATATATTAAAGCAGAATATGTCAACACAAAAGAAAGAAAAATACATAGGAAGAGTTACGATAATCCCATACCAACCAAAACAGTGATCAAGCATGGTCAGAGTAGCATCCAAAACTGAGCAACTTGTGACCCTCCAGATGTTTTAGCCTGCAACTCCCATCAGCCCCAGCCAACATAGATCATGGTAAGAAATAACGAGAGTTGTAGGGCACACCAGTTGGGGAGAGCCACAAGTGGCGACTCTTGGGATAAAGTAATAATATTTGTTTTAAAATAAAGCTTAAAGGTTATATTTAAAAAGTGAGAAGAAGGTCATCTGCCTTGATGCATTCTGTCTTCTTCTCTGAGGCCTTCATTTTCCTTCAGGTGGTTCCACAAGAGCCTAAGTAGTAGGGTCTGTAGCATACAGGCACGACAGCTGAGAGAAAGGTGACTGTTCCCTCTGGCTCTGAGAGGCTACTGGCCCCTTTAGCGTTTGGGGAGCCATGAAGGATGTTAAGATGCCCAGCTGCTATGACATCAGTTCTTTGTGACATCAGAAACCAGGAGTCAGAAATGTCAGGGGAGTTAGTTAAGAGAGAGTAATGGGGGATATTGTGGAAAACATGAGCAAGTCTGCACACTGAGGGGCAGAGGCAAGCTCCTGTGGAAGGCAGCCTGCATCAGAAGCAAATACGCCCCTCTTACTTCATATTAAATTAGGGGAGTGGAATCTCTCTGCCTCAAGCAGGATATATTAGGGTGGACTTTAGATTGCCAGAACCTAAATACCTCTCTGGTAAAACAGCATAGGAAGGGCAACATGAGAAATGAACTGCCCAGTTGGAGGATCTCTGGTGTTCCTGCCATCTTGCCCAACATTTTCCCACCTCAAGCAGCAAGAGCCACCCTGAGGATGGAGTCAGAAGCTTTACTGAAAAGAACAGAGAGGAAGTTTCCATTTTGGATTCAGATCTTTACATGGGCAGAAACTTCTCCCTCAGCTTAGGCAGAAGGATATTTAGAGTTCATACTGTTCTGAAATTTCAGTAAAATCACTGCACTTCAAAAATTGTCTTGAGTTTGATGACCAGAACGAACAAGAGAAGAAACCAGAACACAACACTTGTTGGAATAGAACAGTAATGGCTGTGATCGGTCATCTGAATGAGAAGGTGGTACGGACCAAAGGAAACTTGTTTTCTTCCTTGCTAGTTTCTTCTTGCAATGCAGATTGCAACTGCCAGGCTTTTCTTCCTTCTTCCCTCCTAATTCATTAATGGTTAGTGTTCTTTTGCCTGAACATTGCAACCATAATGGATGTATTCAACCTTTTCTTTTGAAACTATTTGATTTCCCAGGAGCTACAAGCCACCAATAGACTGATGTTTGCTTCTGAAGTAGCAGTGTGTGTCTACTTCTTCCCTAGCATTTGCTTTGCACCAGTTACACACTGAAACTATGCAAACAAATATAACTCTACCAAGCAAATCTGCCGTACAAATATAAATCTAACAGTTCTGACCCCAAACTGTGTGTGGGAATTAATGAGAAAGCAAAGGGTTCACAAAGGAATTGGCAAAAAAAGTCCACTCCAATGCATAGAACTGGATTTATGACCCAAATAATGTTATAAAAGCTCTGTTGTATGGTATCGGAAAGCATTCTCATGGTATAAGCAAATTATCAAAATCCAAATATCTATGTTGTCAAAGCCTCCATAATACAAATCAGGGCTGGATCCAACATGATGAAAGCAAACTTCTATTTGCCCAGTAGGACCTCCCCATCCCCTGTTCCCACATAGCCCCATATATCTGGTCTGTAGGATGCTCCAACCCTTCCGAATCAATCTGGGGGACTCATGGGAGAAGAAATCCATTCCTGTAGTGTTTTCTGCTCTGATAGCAAATGTACAGAGATGGCTCCAACCCCAATTCATCTGTATATTGTTGTGGACACTACATTTTAAAAAAGGGATGGGGGCAAACAGATAATGGTTATGTCATATGAACTGCTAAACAATGCTGTAGTATTATGAAAATAAGCTGCAATGAGTCCTTGGCACACTGTCTCTTGACCTATCTTTCTCCAGCAAAGTGCAAGCATAAGATTGGAACCTTCTATTTCCATTTTAGATTTAAGGTATCATCAAACCCCTGAACTGTAGTTAACATTGCAATAACTGTGATTTTAAACAATCTAGTTACATAAAACATGTTTGAAAGTAACTTGTTTCCACTAACCATAGTTAGGATTAACCATGATCTGTCTGAGTTTCAATATCAAAATAAACTGCAGCTAATCTAAAACAAAAGGAAACCCTTCCAAGCACCTCCTTGCACCTGCATCAGAGAACTGTGGTAGTGAGAGAATGTATGAACCAAGGCTCACTGTGGCCTATCCTCATAATGTTAAACCATGGTTTAGTTACTTGTGAGTGCAGCCATGGAAACCCAATTACTGCAATATTCCCCCAATGGTTTCTTTTGGAACCTTGATTCTGAAGCCACACTCACTACTTGTTTCTATCCTCTCTTGTTCCAACATCCATCCAAATTTTGGAGCAAGCTGAATACATAGATTAGTTTGCAAGAGAAAAAAATAATATTGGTTGTTAATTGTTTTCTTATTTTATGTTTCATCTTCCAGTTCAGGACATGCTGACATAATGAGCATATTTTAGAATCAAGGGGTAGATTTGCAGCCTTAATTTGAATACAGCAGATTGTGAAAGCTCAACCATGATGCCTTGGTACCTTTTTTCATGATCCCCATGTACAAACCAAGGTAATGTTAAACTAAGGACAACAGTTCAACAATCTGATTTACTAAAGAATTTCTAAGCTGATTGGATGAGCACTCTGTCCTTGTAGAGCTAGTATGGGTAGAGTATCATAAAGCAGCCATATTGTGGGTTACTGTGGAATTTACGTGCTTCAGAATATCAGCACATCGGGTCTTGGTGGCCTTGGGGAGATGTTTGCAGGCTCTTTCCCTATGGCCAGTAGTACCAACTGGTCAGTATTTGTAACCATGGTGAGAAAAGCATTCATGTTGCCAGTCCCACATGGCGTATCAGGAGTGCACTTGGACCACAAAGGAAGAAGCATCATATGAAGTCTCCTTAAAGAGGAACTGCACCTCTTTAAGGGAAATGGTGTGGCACCATCAGTGGTGCAGTGAGGTGCTCATCATTGCAGACCACACAAGCATCCTGCCAAGTGAATGGGTCTTAGTTTCCCATTCAGTACCAGACCACACCAAAATGCATTGCCTAACAGCAGGGCAGGATACATTGTCGTTGGGAAAATATCCCCGCACTCTAGCTGATGGGAGGACTGAAGCTAACCTCATGTTGCTAAGCAAAAATGCTTTGATCCTGTGAGCCTGGCTCCATGATTGCACTCGGCACCCCAATGGTGCATTTGCTGCTCTGATGCCAGCAGCACCATAACAAGGCGTGTTGCCACTGGCAGGTGCCCCAGAGGGAAGATTACTGGGCTGGCTTTTACGTGGTGCTTTTACTATGTTAATACCACAGTTCATAGGGCTGACAATTAGCTGATGGTACACTTGGTGCCAAGGAATGAAGAAGAGATATGAAGCTGGGAGTCATTTGAAAGCATTCCTGGGATTGGTCCAAGGTCTAGAGCAGCTTTCTTTGTATAGAAGACAGCGGAACTCTTTAAATCATGCCCTGTGCTGGTCCAAATCATTGTACAGAGACACTGTTGGAAAGCACTTCTCCAGGTCCTTTGGATATAAGATGTCTGGTTGTTGAAAAGTTGTGTGGGAAACCCTCGGTGGTTTTTCAGGTGGAGGGGTTCTGCAGTCCTCTTACTCCCATCCAAGGAGAGGAGTGGTGTAAGATGAGATGGAGCTAAGGTTGCTCGATGTTATCTCAGATTTTCTGAAAATGCTTTTAAAAGCTCAGTAGCAAGCGACAGCCAGCATGGCCAACCCCTTGCAACAGCAGTCCTTGTACCAGTCTCAGTAGCCCTTCCCTGTATTCAAGGTTATGTGCAGTTATATGCAGTTACTCACCAGTGTGAGAAATATTCTGCATGTGCT